TGATCATTCTGACACTGAAGTTCATGTTTTGGTAAGAAGGATACATGGTTACTATTTCTGCCTGACTTTCTAGTAAAAGAAAATAGACAAATCTGGAAGGGGTTTGGTGGGAAGTGAGTTTTTTTATTTTGATGTGGTCTCCAAATTACGTGCAGCAACAAACCTTTAATTGGTGTATTTTTACTACACTAGTAGCAGTGAGTAATAATGGGTGAACCTAAAGGGCTTTCTGAATTATCAAAAGAAAATGGTTTTACATTCAGCACAGCATAGCTTATGTTTTCTGTTAAATTTTCTTTTCTCTATAAACTTACCCATTAAACTGGGAGGAAATGTTTCTGAAATTCTTTTCCCTCAAAATTACTCTTTAATGTGAAATTTTATTTATGGAAAAAGTTTTCATCAGATAGCATATATTACCTTAATATTTTTAGTAGATTTCACTTTTGTTTTTTAGGGGAAACTTGACAAAGCTGTACCTTTGTATGAATTGGCTGTTGAAATTCGACAGAAATCCTTTGGCCCAAAGCACCCTAGTGTAGCTACTGCCTTGGTGAATTTAGCTGTTCTTTATAGCCAAATGGTAAGTTCCCACATTTAACTCTTTATGAATGAATGATTTTAAGATATAAAATATAGATACAACATGAGTTAGATATGGCACAGTAAATATAATCAAAGAAAATTTAATGTTATTTATTTGTAATGCTTCCTTGTATTGAAATTAGATTTGTAATATGGTCCCTTCCTCTTAGTGTAAAACACTGTTTAGTTCAGATAATAGGCTGCATTTTTTAAATTCTGGAGATGCCCTGCATCTCTATGTATGATATTGTCTTTAGGCTTATGGCATTTGCCTATTATGGGTGAGAAACATGTATGGTACCTATTGGCAATAAAGGAACAGGTTTGTGCTTAAGATTGGATTAAGGTCAAATGGTTACCAAGCCAGGTCCAAAACTTAGATATCTGACTTTCTGTTATACTGCTTCTCCTATTCTGTTATACTGCTTCTCCTATTAGTTATTCATAAATTAATCTATTTATTCATATCTTTTAGGAGGATATTAACATTTTTAAAGTACTTACCAAAGTAGGTCAGTTTATTCTAAAATATATTAATTTTAGAAATCCAGTGTGTTCAAGTGAGCATTATTCCTTTTTTTTTTAATAAGAAAAAACACATTGAAGCCTTGCCATTATATGAAAGAGCATTAAAGATTTATGAAGACAGCCTGGGTAGGATGCATCCTCGAGTTGGAGAAACGTTAAAAAATTTAGCTGTGCTTAGGTAAGAATATTTTTCCCTTCCTAATAGCGTCCCACTCTTTTAGAATAGCTTTGAATTTGACTCCTCATAGAACAGCACAAAATATTTATTCTGAATGTTTTCTTCTTGTAGAGGGGGTTGTTTTTTTGCTAATCAACTTCAAGAGATACTAAAGCAGTATCCAGATGAAAATTAAGGTTATATGATCTATTTTGCAGATGGGTGTATCATGGCAAATAGTGAAGGATGGTTTACATATGCAACTAAATGGCTTTGGGAGTAATATGGGCAATTTGCTGTCCTCAGAGCTAATTTATCATTAAGTATATGTTGACTTTTGCTTGCTCATTTGTGTTTATCTATGGATGCAAAGAATACCTAGCTCACCTTAGCAATTTCACTGCATCTATTACAACACAGTTTTACGGTGTCCATATGAGACACTGAAATATTCCACACTACAGACAGAAAGGAGAAGAGTTTGGGTATTCTATTTTACTGGTCTGAGTGAATGCAATGGAAAAAGGAAAGGGGACAAAATGGGCAATTATTCACAACTCGTTTTCCTGTATCCTGTAAGGTCATTTATAATTGGTAAGAGGTTATATTCTCATCTTAAGAGTTTTTTTCTTCTCAAAGCTATGAAGAAGGTGATTTTGAAAAAGCTGCTGAACTCTACAAAAGGGCAATGGAAATAAAAGAAGCAGAAACATCACTCTTGGGTGGAAAAGCTCCTTCACGACATTCATCAAGTGGAGACACATTTAGCTTAAAAACTCACTCTCCTAATGTTTTCCTTCAACAAGGACAGAGGTAATAGCAGATGCAATTCTTTGCCATTGTACCTTAAAACATAGAATACGAAACTTTAAAAAAAAGTTTTTAAGGAAATTTTTTAAACAGCTTTGTGTGATTTAATGGATATTTGTATGAAATTGTATTGGGCACATTAATTGCATTGGGCACATTTGATTTGTAATTGTGTCTATTTTAGCCGTTTAAAAGAATTTTCCTATTGCATGGGATCTGGATCCAAGGATGTAGACACATTATTAATAGAATTCTAAGACGGCATGAGGAGGATTGGTCTCTGTTCAATAAGAGGTAACAGACAGTTAAGGAGTTCAAGAACCCCATGATTCTTTTCAGCTCTCAAGAGCTACTTTAGTCTCACTATTCCTTGTCTTGCTTTTTAGCAGTAGTCTAGCCCAATTCTCTACCTCTGAGGAAAGTTTCAAGGATTAAAGGTATAATGTTTATGAAAGATGTGAATTGTCTTCAGTGAAACAAATTCGTCAAAAGAATCCAATTGCCATATTTTTTTAATTCTTTTTTATTTTCTTTCATTTGAGCAGATTGGGCCAGTCCCTCTGTTTTCTGTACTGTCTATATTGTATATTGTTTATTACTGTGTAGCATGTATCTGTATAATGTCTGAAGTCCTTAATGTATTAGCAGCAGGTCAAGCTCTTTAGCATTCTTTGACCATTCCCAAAATATAGATGACATTCTCCTTTAGTCTCCTCCTTAAATGGCCTAAATCTGTCTCTTTACCTCAAATTAGTCTACCATGTCTATACTGAAAACTAAATATTGTTTTATAAATATTGCCACATTTTGGATACTGTTTTATACCATTTATATATTTAAAAATCTTCATCAATTTTAATACTTGTAAGATTCCAACATGTATTAAATGTAAAGGTGAAAGATGTAATAACCATACTTAACAGTTTTAAAATAAAAGTGCAATTTCAGATTCTCTTTTTTTCTACTCTGGCTACCATTCTGTATAATTTTTAAAGAAACACATCATTTAAAAAAAAAATTTGAATGTTAATATTTGCCAAGTACTTTGCTCAACTTAAACTTTTGGTTAATGTTCTCTGAGGACTGGCTACTCACAGGCTGGTCCATGAACCAGCATAACCACCACCTGGGAGCTTATTAAAAATTCATACACTCAGGCCCCAGACCTACTGAGTCAGAATCTGCATTTTAGCTAGATCCTCAGGTAATTCATATGTGCAGAAATTTGAGAAGCAATATTATAACTCGAAGGCACTATGGTGGTAACTTAAATTAGGATTTTATAAAATGAGAATCCTTCTCCGTTTTGGGAGTTCAGGAAAGAAAAATAGAAAATAAAATATGACCGTATCTTTCTGGGTTTGCCAGCTGTGAAAGGCACAAAGTAATTGAATTCACAAATATACTAGACAGTGATTTTAGAATTAAGCAATTACAGTTTAAAATTTGATTATTTAGTAGCATAAGTAATTTAATACATGGTAAATAATGTATTAAATTTACTGCCATCAAAAAACTGCTTTAGAAAATCTGAGATGATACTCTGGAACCCTGAAAAAAGGAAAAAACAGCTTAAAAATAATATGTATTCTTTGTACCTTTAAAATTTGGACTTGAAAACTTATAAAAAAGCAGAATCTTCTAATATTCAAAGTGACTTTATGGTAAAAGTTATAGTTGGGATGATCACTCTAAATCATAAGAATTAACTGCAAATATAATAAAAACCAAATTTTGATCCTACTACTTGTTATACTGCCTGCTTAAATGTTTTCATGTAGAATGCCTACTTAAAAATAGCTGGGACAAGCATCTCTTTGTGTATGTGTATCTGAGGTTCTGAAATAGGAATATAATGTTCACATTAATATACACCTTCACAATGAAAAAGGTATATATATTAACTTTCAGACAACTCAATTATAAATCTGAATTGGTAGGATACAAATTTTGCTTAGTTATAACCTTCATTAATCAATACTTTACAGAAAGGGAAATATGAAAGAAATGTGATGGGGGGGTCAAAGCTTCCTTAATATTCTTAAATGTCTATTACCTTTTTGTGTTGGTCACTGTATTTGTACATATCTATGGAGTATCTTTATGACAAGAAACCCATAATATTTATTTTCTCTACTATATTTGAGTAGAACCATAAATTAACTTCCCATTGAGAAAGGAATTAAAGTTGAATATATTGTTTTACTATCATTTAGAGTCTCTGAGTTAAGGCAGTTTTAGGGACTGCTTTTCCATTTTTCACATTAGAATCAATAGCATTTATAATCTGGCCAAACACTATAGTTTTACTTAGGGATGCAAAATTCAGGGATTAATTAACAGTTGCCTTATTATACAAATTTTTCATGGCACATAGACTGTTAGGAAAGCATTCTCAGTAACAACAGATTATCTGTTACCAGATTTTTTTCTGGTAAAATAATCCAATAATTTTTAATGAAAAATCAGATACAAAAATTTGCTTAGATAAATTATGTAAGATTTAGTACAGTGTGAGACACCAGCAGTGATGCAGGGCCAAGTTAGAGCAGATAAAAGGTCTTTAGAAGATGGTGAATTCTAGATATTATACTTTATCAATCATTTTATAATTACAAGTAAAACCTTACCAAATTCGTGCACTAGAGTTTTCAAAGAATTATTTTAGAAAAACTCCATTTCATTTTTGAAATTCAAAACATCCCTAGTAACTAAAAAGGCTGTTTTACAGTTGAATACACTAAATTTTTTAAAAATGGTAAAAGACCTACCAAAGCGACATCATAAGTTTCATGGCTGGAAAAACTATCCCCCTACTTTCCTAACTTACTATAAACATAAGAATCACAATATATTCCTTGAATCTCAAAACTAATATATTAAACATATTTGATTATTTGATGTTTAAGACTTTCTGAAGTCAGTTTTTAGAACTTTATTTTACAAGTAGGGAATGTTTAATTTTTTATTAACATTTCCTCCCTAGGGATACAATTTATATATTTAAACCCTCAAAGTAAAAATCATCAAAATAGGAGATTAGCATAGCAACAGCCTACTTGTAATGGTTATACCTCCATGTTCCTAATATTTATTGGTCTTCAAACCACGGGGAATTTATTTCAACCAAGGTTCTCTAAGCTTCCATTATTTGTATGCAACTCCAGAGAAAACTAGTGTACATTAATTTACAGTTTAGTGGTCACAATCAGGGAAATTATATTTTTCCACTGAATTAATACAAGTCAGTTATTGCAGAGGTAATTTATAACTTTTATGCCCATTCTACAGGACAAACCTTGCCAACATCTATCTCGGGAATCAAATTTAAATGAAGTATTCAAGAGAGTAGCCTTTATGATGAGAATAATCTAGATGATCTTAGTCTAAATGTATGCCTTGCTCGTCAGTAAAGTACAGTGACTCTAGATATGTCCCACAGATGCAATGATTTCTAGTCCTTGGTCAGTTCAGAATAAAATATAATTTGTACTTTTTGAAAGTACCTTTATCTAGAAAGACAGCTTCCTTTTATTTGTCTTTGTCTTCTTTTGAATATATAATTCACAGGTTTACAAACTTTTCCAATGACTACATTTCAGCTTGTATTCATCAGGAAACATCTGAGAGGATGTTATTTTATAGGTGAACTGTTTGAAATTCATTGTTGGTCAAGTTTGTAAAAGTGGATGCTTTTCTTGTAGATGGAAATTCCAAACATGAGTAGATGTTTGCCAGTTCTAATCAACAGACTATATACCTCTTGTCTTGTCTTTCTCCCTGTATTTAAAGATCATATACTACTTTATTATCTGTGTCCTCATGTACAAGGGACTACTGGGGGAGGGGGGAAATACAGGATCAGATTGGTCCTTCTCCCAGCTCCATAAGGCAAAAACATTTCAAAAAAAAAAAAAAATTTCAATGGCTATGGTTTCAGTAAGATTCATAACTACATAGAGTGGTCTTTTGATGTTTCTTTACTAGAATGAAACATTCATTTTAGGAGTTAATGATTTAGTTGGGGTGGGAAGTAATAGTCACAGAATTTTCAAAAAGTATAACAATTCAGTTAAGATTATACATAAATTAATGTTGCCCTAAGTTTTTTTAATTTCAAGAGAATAGGCTTTAACATGGGAAATAAAATATGTCAGTCCATATCTACATATTCTTCATCTTAGCCATGAGGTCTTCCAAGCTTTCACCAGAATCCTCCACTGTTACCTCAGTTACAGAATCTTCTTGCTGTCAAACGAATAAGGGAAATAAGAACCATATAAAATTCTTGAGGCTTAAGAATATATAATCAATAAGCTTTAACTGTACTCAATAAGTTTGTATGTAAATTTTATTTAATAAACATGCCTTCTAATTTTTAGGACAGTCCTTTACTTTCCCCACCTTTTTGATTTATAAGGCAGTAATTTCAATATTCTTGACATCTCTACTAAAGTTTTTTTAAATGATACTGTGGCTAAAACTATCAATATATAAAAATACATCTTCATTTTATCAAAGTCTATTATACTTGATTCATTCATGAGTGAACAAAACCATTTTATGTCTTATGTTTTCAGTTTAAAATAAGTTATGAATATCTGCATATTAACACTGAATACCTCCCTCTCACACTTTAATACCTATTGTTTACAATATATAAAACAGAAAATACTACATTGGCATTACAAAATAGGAAGATGATGGAAGAAGATAAGTATACATTTTCTTTTATATGATATTTACTTATGAGTAAATTGGATTTTTGAAGTACCTTTTTTGGAATTGTATATGCCACTGTAATTCCTTCAGGTAAGTTCGGAACTGGACCTGAAGAATTTTTCAGTTCCTCTTCTGAAACTTCAGATACCAGCTCAATACCTGTAGAGTTAAATTTGATCCTATAACAGTTTTCAAGGAACTTGGTAAGCACTAAATATTCATATTTATATAATTTACATAATCTTATATAAAGGTTTTGTTTTATGCTGCCATTTCATTTTATAAAAGAATTCCTACCCCACTCGTTATCTTCATGTATTATCTTTTCTTCTTCTTGTACAACTTCCTGTTTGGGCAGTGCTGCTACCTTTTTCTGTAGAAATCAAACAGTATCAAAGTGTTTTTATTCATTCTCAGTTCTCTGACGCATTAATCAAGAATTCAGACAGGCTTTTTATCTTACCAAAAGCAAGACAGGACTTTCATTTTTGAAGTTATGGTGAATAAACTATAAAAATCCAGAATCCATTTATCTTGCATTACAAATCTGTTTCTATTTTTTTAAGTTCTTGTCCTATGCAATATGATCCCTCATACATTCTGACAGACTGACATATACCTTATATTCTTCCTGCTGCTTCCTGCAATTTCTGTCATCACACTGAGGATTTGGCTTCATGGACATAGTAGGAAAAAAATCCTGCATTGCATTGTATCCAAGGTAAAAACTAACAGTACCAAAATTTAACAGAAACCTAGAAAAACAAATCAAAGTAGACTTAAATAAATAAAATTATAAAAGTACTAGAAGAAAGCAACTGAATTTTTAAAAAATGTTTTTAGAATAGGTAATGATTTATGTAATCTGCAACCCAAAAAACAAAAGTTCTATCTTATTTAAAAGTTCTGCCTTAATAGATGCTTGAATATTGTTGAATGGAGGAAAGAATAAAATTAATCCATTTCATCAACTGTAGAATATACTATTATTTTTTGAAATTCTAATAAAGATAGAATGCTTGCAAGTAAACTATGGTATGTCAACAACTTTAAGAAGCATACTGATTTCAGAGATGTTAAAATGTGAGAGAAGTGTGTTTTTAAAATGCCCTACGGTACTAAATTTACTTTAACTTTTTAAAAAATGATATCCGTAACTCCTCCCCAGTCAAATCTGATTCTTTTTAAAACCTCTGTATAGAGAAAAAATCATGTACAAAAGATAAATAGACAAAAGGACAAATACTTGCAAATGCATGTTCTTAATATAAAGACAAAAATACAGAGCAAAGTCTATTAGCAGATAATTCAAGTGCTCAGCCTTTTTCACAAATAAAAATTCAAATGAAATGCCTATCATATTGACAAAGATTAAAGAGTTTGATGATACCCAATGTTATCAAAGGTATGAGTGAACCAGGTACTCCTATGCTATGATGGAAATGTATAGTCCTTTTGCAAGAGAAATTTAGTAATATCTGTCAAAATAAATATTGCATAAACTCAATTCTACTTCTAAAGAAGTGGAATTATACTATACAAAAATCTAGTATTCAAAGATATATGCAAGATGTTGTCTACACCATTATTAATAATTAAAAGAATTGTAAGTAGCCTCAATGTGCATCAGTAGAGGGGCTAGCTAAATATGACACATCCTTAAGAGAATACTTTGTGGCCATGATTTTTTGTTGTTGTTGTACAATACTATAAAATGTTTTGTTTATGCAGAATTTACGGATTGTACAGGTTATTTGCTTATATGAAATAGCCCTAACCTGTTACCTTGAGAGTTCTTATGTGTGCTTTTTATAATTTTTTTGCTGGCAGCTGACACTTAACTGATATCAAGGTGCCTCCTTGTATCATATTTCATTTTGTTCTTATTATATTGGAGGCTTAGGAAATATAACTAAGTTTATAAAGTTGTAAAGTGAGGGGGGGAAAAGTGGCCTGAATTAGGGAACATCTAAAGAGGCTTTGATTTTAATAAAGTATGAACCGATTCATAAATTCTGACAAATTTTACCTGCAAAGAAACCTGTTTTTTCTTTTTAGCTAAAGTTTAGATAGTGTAGTTGCTGGGTATCTGTTTTTGGATAGCTGAGGTATCCAAGAACATTTACATTATGTTATTGTATATAAATGTTACATTAACATTAATGTAATGTTTAATTAATAATAATGGGTATTCTTTAATCACATTCAGACTATTTTTAGCAAGACTTAAATCAAGATAGTGGAAGCAAGTATGTTAATGTCTAAGTCTCCTCCCACTGGTCAGACTTGCAGAGATTCAAATTATTTGGTTAATTCTTCATAATTAAATACATCAGCACCACTGTACGGCTATTCCAAATACAAGGAATAACGGACATTCATATATATTCATGTATGAATATGTATGCATGTGTAGTAATATATGTGATATTAATATTTACATATATACATGCATATACAAAATATACACATATTTACATATATATTTAAATTTAAAATAAATACTTAGCTGCTAATTTCAATTTTTAAAATGCTTAATGAAATACATTTATTTTTATCAAAAGCATACAAAACTATTCAAAACATTTTAGCACTCACTCACTTTAACACATTTTGTACTAAGATCCCAGCAACCACTCCCATAGTGGTAGGAAGACTGGCTGCACAAACCCCTTCTCGTTTCAGAGTCTTTTCATCAATATTTGCAGCAACTACAAGGGGTGGAGCACACTACATGAAAAACAATAAAACACATTTCAAAGTATTAGAAGGAAAAGTATTAGATGTTTCAAATGGTATTCCATTACATTTAAGTTTGTTTCTTTGAATTGTAATGCATTTTCAATGCCCCTAAGAACTCTAGTACCTAACAGTGAAAAATGAAATAATGCATACCGCAAAACAAGCAGATTCTCCAGGAATTATGAGCTGTATATGCCCCGAAACTGCATTTTCACTAACCCCAGATTCCATCCATATTTGTCCAAGTTCATTACAAGCCTTAATAGAAATAGGTGAAAACACAAGGAAGAACAAAAAGTAATTTACAATAAATTATTTTCACGAAAAATTAGGCTTTAACTGAATAGATTACCAAAGGTTTCTTAAAACTAACTTTTGTAATTAATGCGCAAACTTGTAAGTAGTGGAATTCTTTGGTAACTACCACATTCTATTTAAATAATAAACTGACAGTATTCAAGAAGCAGTCAGTAAATATCTACTTATTAAACTGAACCATAATTTTATTGGATATCTTGTCAGATTAACATAAAAATTCATTTACTAAAATAATTTCAGCAATAAAAAAATGCCAAAATAGCACATGAGAAATTAAAAACAATTAAACAATAATTCAAAAGAAAAAGAATTATTGGTTGGACACAGTGCTTTATACCTATAATGCCAGCACTTTGAGAGGCTGAGGTGGGAGAATCACTTGAGGCTGAGTTCAAGACCAGTCTGGGCAACATAGCAAAACCCGTCTCTAAAAAAAATTTTTTTAATTAGCTGGGTGCGGTGGTATGGGCCTGTAGTCCCAGCTACTCCAGAGAGGCTAAGGCTAGAGGACTGCCTGAGCCCAGATGTTTTTGGCTGCAGTGAACTATGATCACACCACTGCATCACTCCAGCCTGGGCGGGGTTTCCTCATTGGAAACCAAGAAGGAAGGAGGAAGAAAAAGAGATGGGAAGGATAAAAAAATTACCTATCAGGTACAATGTACACTATTCTGGGGATGGGCATATTAAAAGCCCTGACTTTAGCATTATACGATTCATCCATGTAACAAAAACTCTCTTGTACCCCCAAATCTATTAACATTTAAAATCTATATTTTTAAATAGAAATTAAAAATTGAAAAAATTCTTTACTTTTTAAGAAACCATGTTTTTAAGCAATTTATACATAATGATACATTTATAAAGTAACAAAAGTTAAAACACTGACCAAATATTATAAAATATTAATTTATTTAAAAAATTTTATATACCTGAAGTATTTATTTTACAGTGTCCTCTACTGGCATAAAAGAAACTAAGATTCTATAACTATGTCCCACCAGCAAGGTTAGACAGGTTCCACAGCTTGTAGAACTTTTTTCTTTCTTTTTTTTGGTGATGGAGTCTCACTACCCAGTCGCCCTGGGTAGAGTGAAGTGGCGTCATCGTAGCTCACTGCAACCTCAAACTCCTGAGCTCAAGTGATCCTCTTGCCTCAGCTTCCTGAGTAGCTGAGACTACAGGTGCACACCACAACGCTTGGCTAACTTTTCTATTTTTAGTAGAGAGAGTATCTCGCTCTTGCTTAGGCTGGTCTCAAACTCCTAGCTCAAGCAATCCTCCCACCTCAGCCTCCCAAAGTGCTAGGATTATAAGGATGAGCCACCACGCCCAGCCAAAATTTTAAAAGTAGGCTAAGAGAACATTAAAAATTAATAAAACACATGAAAGGGTTTAAATCCAGAACTAATTTTAGGATGGGGATTATATACTGATAAAATATGCAGGAAAACAGATAAATTATGAGTATAACATCTTACACAACAGGAATACTCACAGTATTTATTGTCATTCGAGCTTCAAAATTATCCACACAGCTAAGAACTAGATCAACAGGTTTTCCTTCTTCTAACCCACCGTTACTAGTCAAAGAAAATAAATTTTATTTGAAAAAGACACATGCATGTGTCTGCTCGGTGTAAAATTAAATAAAAAAAAAAAAAAAAAAAAAAAAAAAAAAAAAAAAAAACGAAAAAGACACAAAATGCATTCTAATACATTAGACTTTATTTGTTCTGTCACACTTATTCTTTCATTAAATGTTTGAGTATAATTATAACATAGTAGGTATTTACTATTAAAGATCCCATATATATCAAAAGTATTGAGTAACTACTATGAACATAACATTAATGATACATTGGTAGTACTATTATAAGTAATACAAAGGTGAAGGAAGTATGATCTGTTCACAACAGCTACCTTCTCCTTATCAGCTTTTACAGACTTTTATTCATGCTTCACTACAAACATAAATGTAATAAAAGCTAATTGAATGCAATTCATTATTACAGTGGTATTCTGACTATCTGTTTTCAGATAGAAATATAATCTAGAACACAAAACTTAAAATTGAGGATCCCTGGTTATATCATTATAGGTTACAGGGGTTTTTACTTGTTTGCTTTTTACTTTGTATTGTTTTTGGACAATATATACCATTATATACTTTTAACTGAGCTTCTAATACATTAAAATTACATACAAAAAAGTACTGTTTTTTTGGGTTGTTATTTTTTTTTTTTTTTGAGAAGAGGTCTGACTTTGTTGCCCAGGCATGAGGGAAGTGGCATTATCAAAGCTCACTGCAACCTCAAACTCCTGGGCTCAAGCAATCCTTCTGCCTCAACCTCCTGAGTAGCTGGGATTACAGGCATTATGTCACCATGCTCCATTAATTTTTTTCTATTTTTTGTAGAGATGGGCTCTTGCTATGTTGCTCAGGCTAGTCTTAGAAGGCAGCTGTGCTCACCACTATACCACTAATGCAGGTGGGTCTTAAACTCCTGACTTCAAGTGATCCTCCTGCCTCAGCCTCCTAAAGTGCTAGAATTATAGGCATGAGCCACCACACCCATCCAAAAACCTACTATTTTTAAAACAGAAAAATATATATCTGCCAATTCATTGAATTAATCATTAGATTTTTCTTTTTTTTTAATTTTTTTTTTTTGAGACACAGTCTCGCTTTGTTGCCCAGGCTAGAAGAGTGAGTACCGTGGCGTCAGCCTCGCTCACAGCAACCTCAAACTTCTGGGCTCAAGCAATCCTTCTGCCTCAGCCTACCGAGTAGCTGGGACTACAGGCATGCGCCACTATGCCTGGCTATTTTTTCTATATATATTAGTTGACCAATTAGTTTCTTTCAATTTATAGTAGAGACGGAGTCTCGCTCTTGCTCAGGCTAGTTTCTAACTCCTGACCTCGAGCAATCCGCCCGCCTCGGCCTCCCAGAGTGCTAGGATTACAGGCGTGAGCCACCACGCCCAGCCTAAGACTTTTCCAATAAATTTTCAAATAATACTTGAGCTGGACATTGTACAAAACATTCATAAATTAAAATTTTACCTTATTCTATCCATGAAATGTTGAAAGTTTTCCACTGTGGTTATATTATAATTGTGTATTTCAAAAAGAACATCAGGATTAATGTTCCTAAGAGGGAAAAAGAGAATAATTACTCAGACTACTAGTAGCTATAGTAAGGAAAAGCAGAAAGGAAAAAGAGTTGAAAGAGCTAAAAAGCATTTAACATCAAGCTATTAAAAAAAAACCCAAAGTTCTCTTCTACCTCTTTTGTCCCACTTCAGGGACTAGGTTCAAAAACGTATAGATTGTCATAAGGACTACAAAAATATTCCCACCCCAACTTGGGTCAACTGATGTACTGGGAATTAAGACTTTACCATTCCTGGTAGCTACAGCTCAGCTCAGCATGACAAAAGATGTTTCTTTGTTCCTTGTTCAATTCAGTACAAGTCTGGCCTACCACCTGTTTCTGTACAGCCTTTTAAGCTAAGAATGGTTTTTATATTTTTAGGGGGATCAAAAGAAGAAAAATATATTTCATGACATGAAAATTATATGAAATTCAAATTTCAGAGTCTAAAAATAAAGTTTTATTGGGGCACAGACATGCTCATTCATGTTTGTGTAGCCTACTGCTACTATAGCACTATAATTGCATAGTTGAGCAGTTGCAACAGAGACCATCTGGCCCTCAAAGACTAAAATATTTATTATATAGGCCTATACAGAAAAAAATTGCCAACTCATGTCTAACAGGTAAGTTAGTGAAATGTGTATTTTTACAGAGAAAAATTCAGATCCGCTTATATATTAGGATAACTCATACCAAATATAAAAAGTAAGATTTCACTGAATATGGTCCTTAATTTATTCTATTTACCTCAAAGTATGTTCTGCTGCTTGAACTTTACTTAATCCTGCTTGATGAGGTTGGAAGAAAAGTCTGTTCATATTGGCCAGTTCCACCTTGTCATAGTCAAAGAGTAGCAACTAAAATGAAAATAGTGGTATTCTGATGAAAAACATACCAAAAAACTAAAAATAAAAAAGAATAAACTAGTGAACTTTACATTTGATACGTTTAACAGTTTGATAATATTAGTTAATTTTAAAACACTAGCTGCCATATATTAATTCATTGGATGCTCATGCGAGGTAAGTATGTAGATACTATTATCTTTATGTTAGAGCCACTTGGCCCATATAGAACGAAAATGAGATTCAAATTTAGGCATTTTTTTTTCCCACTTTGTTGCCCAGGCTAGAGTGAATGCCATGGTGTCAGCCTAGCTCGCAGCAACCTCAAACTCCTGGGCTCAAGCAATCCTACTGCCTCAGCCTCCCGAGTGGCTGGGACTACAGGCATGCGCCACTATGCCCAGCTAATTTTTTCTATATGTATTAGTTGGCCAATTAATTTCTTTCCATTTATAGTAGAGACGGGGGTCTCACTTTTGCTCAGGCTGGTTTCGAACTCCTGACCTCCAGCAATCCACCAGCCTCAGCCTCAGCCTCCCAGAGTGCTAGAATTACAGGCACGAGCCACCGCGCCTGGCTAATTTAAGCATTCTTAATCCAATATCCCCACCCTAACCACAATTCTGTGCTGCGCCTCTCTAAAGAATTCACTCCGAAATTAGCGTTCATTCCAATTTTTAAAAAGTGTGCCAAAATCCTACTGCATTCCAATTTTTTGCAAAAAGCCAAGAACCCACTGGATAAATGAAGTCTTTAAATAAGATAAAAACAAATGCTGTAACTTAAAACTATATAGCATAACCTGACTCCTCATGTGTATGACTCGATATATTACCCATTACATGGCTAAAACATTATTCCAGAGTTACTAACCAGTGAATTGTTGTTTCCTGAAACATACTTAGGCCTGTTTCAAACAGCATTTGTCACACACACACAATTTAAAATGGCCATTAGATCACATTTCTTATCAGTAAGAACAGGCTAGAGCCACCGATTTCCAAAGTCCCTTCCTGATCTAAAATTCCATGAATCTATAATACAATTCTCAGCATCACAAATTTAACAATAAAAGCAAAAAAATGGGATTTTCTTTTTCTTAATAGACACTAAAAAAGGAGGAAAAAAAACCCAGCCTACAATAACACCTCCCAGATAATCCTTAATATCCTGCTAGAAAAGATCTCAATTATATTCTCCATGGTAATTTTCTAATGGCTAGAGTATCTCCAAAACATGGTTTATTTAAGCTCAATCAATAAATATTTATTAGGTCAGGCCAAGTGTTAAATTTGAGTTTCTGCCTCCTAGCTTGTTTACGACTAAGTTGCAAGAAACACTAAACTTGGGAAGAAGAGGTGAGAGCTGTAACTCTGACACTAATTAGCTCTGATAAAAGGTAAATCACTTTCATTTTTTAGGCCTGTATCCTCATTTGTAAAATAAAGCAGCAGATCTAGATCTGGTGATACAGGGCACCTCAGATACTTTCTGGGATTCCAGATACTTTGGGGTGGATAAGAAATGGGCTCTGAGTTTCCCAATCCTCTACTTCCCTATTTAATTCCATGAATTAGCTTCTTGTTTGTTTTACAAACTGAAGAAAGATTTCCTGAAACTTACCTGTATAGATTCTTAGTTTACAAACTTGAGGGCACAATGGAATCACTGGGAGAGTTTTTGAAAAGGTCTGAGTCTCATCCCCAAAGATTTTAATTTACCTATTATGGGGTGCAGTATGGATATCAGAATTTTAAAAACTTCCCAGGTGACCATGATTACAGCAATATGATTACTGTTCTGGATCTTGCTGCTCAAAACCTAACCTGGCCTGGTCTAGCAGCATCAGCATCACCTGGAGCTTGTTAAAAGAGCAAGAGCATTTACCCAGCTTTCATATGCATATTGATCATCTGGGAATCTTGTTACAATACAGATTCTGATTCACTATGTCTGGATCTGGAAGTCTTTTTTTTGTTGTTGTTGAGACAGTCTCACTTTGTTGCCCAGGCTAGAGTGAGTGCCGTGGCGTCAGCCTGGCTCACAGCAACCTCAATCTCCTGGGCTCAGCGATCCTACAGCCTCAGCCTCCTGAGTAGCTGGGACTACAGGCATGCGCCACCATGCCCGGCTAATTTTTTGTATATATATTTTTAGTTGGTCAATTAATTTCTTTCTATTTTTGGTAGAGACGGGGTCTCGCTCAGGCTGGTTTCAAACTCCTGACCTTGAGCGATCCGCCCGCCTTGGCCTCCCAAAGTGCTAGGATTACAGGCGTGAGCCACCGCGCCCGGCCTGGATCTGGAAGTCTTTATTTCTACCAAGCTCCCAGATGATGCTGATGCTACTACTCTGGGGACCAGACTTGGAGTAGCAAAGATCCAGTGGTTAAGTGTAGTCCCCAGAACATCATGGGGACTAGTTAGAAATGTTAATTATTGGGTCCACCTGACACCTATAGAATCGAAACTACTAGGTCTGGCAATGTTTTAACAAGGCTTCCAGGTGATTCTAATAACATAATCAAACTTGAGAACCACTAATTTCAATGACCTCTAATATCCCTAGTCAATCAGCCAGGGTACTTAAGACAGTATAAGCAATTTTTGGCCTGCTTTTATAAACCTTTTGAAAGGTATTAAAATTTTAATGAACATTTTTAGTATTTTGGTGTTGTCTTTTCTATACTGATAAATGAGTACCAATTTTGAAACGACTTAAAGAATTTGGGGTGGACCAACATATTAAAAAGTATTGATAAACTTTGCTTTATCAAAATGGCAAATTAGAGAGTATTTGTGGAAAGTTTATCTATTTAACTCTATGTATCTGACAGCATAGACTTTGGCTTTATAAATCTAAGATTAGTAGATTGAATTCGGGTATAAGAAAGTTTCTCCTCCTTCCTACCCACAATCCAAATCAATTTTAGAAAAAAAAGTGAAAAATATATGGGTTTAAAAAAAATCCAGAGTTTTCTCTAGTTCAAATTCAAGAGTAAGAATAGTACATGCTTTCTACTCTATCTGGTATAAACGTGTTTAACAAAATGTTAGATTTTTTAGTGTTTCGCTCATACTATCAATTTAACAGCCTTCTTTCCTAAACATCTATACGTCTAAAACACTTAAGTCCAAATTGTTTATATACGACCTCAAACAAAAAGTTCCTGAACACCATTAGATGGTTTTTGCCTGACTAGCAATAATATCAGCTTTTGATTGGGTGGAGATACGTCTCAACTCTTTTGAGTAGAAAGAACCACCTGAGTACACTACCAATCAATAAATTATTAGTAATGAGAAAAGAATCGTAATTGGTACCTGATTTACTCCGGGACTTAGTAGTTCCCTATATGATAGGCAAAGAGAAATGTTTTTACCTTACCAATGCCACATCTTGTCAGCATTTCAGCAGTCACACTACCAACTCCACCAACACCTACTATTGCTACGGCAAAGGTACGGATTTTCTGTGCAATGGAAAATTATATGTGTTGGTTAATAACTCGTCATCTAATATGTCACTAGAAATTATTGTCATTTACTGAAAATCATCTTCAGAAACTTGGAAAGGTTTATCATACCTCATAGTCGTTTACAATTCCCATTCGTTTCAGTGCCATCAAGCGGCTTAAAACAAAGAAAAAAGTTTTAAAGCTTACAATCTTTTATGTAATAATGATACAGATAGACATACATCATCACAGAAAATAAACACCAAAACTCAATCACTACTTATCCTTTAAAAGAGAAAGACTCTTAAAGCTGGCTTTTACCAAATGAAACTAATTACCTGGGTAGCTTTAAAAACTCTCCCAGGTGTTTAAAGATTTTTTTTTTTTTAAAGCTCCACATATATTTTAATGTACAGCCAAGACTGACACCTCCTGACTTAAATGTTAAGGGTCAAAGCGAATTTCAACACTTTTCTATACTTTGGTAGTATAAGTAAATTTTTAATGTTTAACACTCAGATCTCCATCATCAGAATAAACTCATGGCTGGAATTGCACTCACTTGTTGCCTCTGACATGGATATCTACTTTTAGTAAGCACCCACTGTATGCCAAGGATTCCTAAGTGCTTTAGTTACTGCTAATATGTTATTATCTTCGTAAATTTTAAAGTGTTTATATCCATTACCATCATATCTGTAACTAACATGCTAACATTATTATTTCTTTTCAGTCTTAGGCATTATTTGAAATCAGATTTCATCCTTACTGCACACAGATACTTCCCATCCCACCAACCTCCCAATACTGTTATATGGTCATCTTGGTTAGATGTTAACTGTTCATAACTGGGCCATGAAATATATTAGAACTTATCCTTTCCTCTATAATTCCCATCCCTAAAGTTAATAACTGTTTTTCCTTAAGCTTAATTTCCTATGTATTTTCACAAATTCAACCTCAACTCTCCACTAGCCTAAAATTCCTCTAGATGCACTCATATGCATGAGGCATTCTATCTATTTAATCTTCTTAAAGATGTATTTCCTAGAATCTGACATGGTATCTCTAGACTTACTGCACATACAGCTCCCTTCTTAGGATCTCCCTTCATCATCATACTACAAATTCTCTTAATTTCTTTAGCTTGTATTAATCTCCTGCTTCCCGTGTCCTATAGCTCAGTGGTTCTAAAGTTTCTATGGATCATCATAAGCAGCACCACCTGGGAATTTGCTAGAAATGCAATAATGACCCGCTGAATCAGAAACCTTGGATGTGGAGTATAACAACCTGTTTTAACAAGCCTTCCAGCAATTGCGATGCACATTAAAGTTTGAAAGCCTCTGTTATGGATTATTTCTTAACTTGTTCTCTTCTTATGGTTAGAATACCTTCCAGTAGCTTTGCAAAGGGTGCAGCAAACATAAATTTTGATAATTTACATGTCTGAAAGTGTTCTTTATCAAAATTCTATTCTTTACAAAAATTACAAAGGGTGTATATTTGTGGGATGCTACATATACACACACACTCTTAAGTGATAGTTTAACTTGGTATAGAAGTCAAAAGTTGGAATTTTCTTTCAAAATTTCTAAGGTATTCCTCCAGTGTCTCCCAGCTTCTTAATGTGAATCTTAATGTTAATGTTAATCTTAATGTTAATCCATTGTGCTGAGTATATAGTGTACCCTTTCAAAACGAAAACTCAGTTTTTCAATTCTGGGAAAGATCCTTGAAGAATTTGATTTCCTTGTTTGGTTTTTCCTGGACTCTTTCTAGACAGTCTATTATATTTCCTATAATTTGGAAGTTAGACCACCTGGACTTGTCCTTTATTCTTATTTTCTTTCTCTAATTTTCCATCATTTTAGTTTTCTGCTCCATCCTCTGATTTCTTTCAACTTTATTTTGCAATCCTCCTACTCAGGTTTTCATATCATTACCATCTCCATTTGCAAGAATTATTTTTAATCATCTGAATACTTTTTATTGTGCCTTGTTCCTATACCATTTGTACAATATCTTATCTGAAGATACTAATGATAACTTGGGGGCATGTGTTTCTCTTACATAGTCTATCCAAGTTGCTATTTTTATTTCTTTCATGTTAGGAGCATCTCTCATCCTTTGTTCTGTTCATATTTAAGAGTGGGACACTAATAAAGATAAGGATATAGGCAATACTTGTTTGACTTTGGGCTTCACTGTAGGGTGATCTGGCCAGGGTATTTAGTTGAGAAATCCACACAATGTCAGTGTCTTTCAGTCTTTCTTCTTGGCTCTATCAGATTCCTTAGAGAAGAATCTTCCAAACTCCAAACTGAACTGAAGTTCCAACCTGGCTGACAGCTGTTAGAAGTTCAGTGGAGGAACAAGGCTGGGAGTCCTAGCATTCAGCATGTAAACATTCAGTACTTTTTGCTTCAAATACAAAGACCAAACCCAATTATTAATAGAAATCTTCTATTTTACTCTCTCCAATAAATAAATCTCTAGTTTCTTCTCCTGGTAGAAAATGAACATTTGCCCAACTACCCACAATGGGGTAGTGGACGTGAAGCTCTGTTTCTTCAACAAACTTTCAACTAAAAGTTTTAGCCCTACCTTAAGTCCTTCTATAAGTACCTGTGCCTATTCTGAGCCTTTTGGGGGATTCTGTGCTATAAACTGGGTTGTAAGTCTAACATTCAACTTCTTTGAATCTATTAAATCAGTTATCTTTCATTTATCCATTTTCTAGTTTCCAAATTGTGTTACCAAAATCTTCAAGCACAGGGACCTAACCCTTCCCCCACCAATTATTAATAAGAACCCTTCATTTTTTCAATGGGGGTTTCCTTTTTAAGAATTCCTTTACTGTCAGTTTAGTGGGGTTGGGTAGAAAGCGATAGCAAATTCCTATGATCCAATCTGCCATCTTTACCTTGACCTTCCCTTCAGTCTTTACAAATAAACTTAAGAAGAATGTATAGCAATCCCCTTTTATAGATGAGGCAAAAGATTCAGGTTAATCAACTGCCCAAGGTCAGCTAACTGGCAAACAGTATTCAGAGCTGGGTTTCTGCGTCAGGATTTGAAACCAGGTTTGCTAATCTCAAAACTTCTGTTTGCCCCTCCACATTTTTATAATTATATTCTATGCCACATAATTTCACAATTACTTGTGTTGTTGGATCATTATTTCACATGCATTTAGTCTCCCAAACTAAAGCAAAAAGGACTTTGAGAGTCATAGGTTTTATATTTCCTTTGTATCACTTGAGACAATTAAAATGGTGTTGAACACATACAAACCCCTTTCCTATATCTTTCCACAACCCTGTACTTTCCCTATCATAATTCTTACCACCTGTATTGCAATTGTATGTTTACCTTTCTATCTCACTCACATCTAGCACGCTCTGGAGGGAAAAGACCATGTCTATTTTGTATCCACGATGACTACCTATCCGAAATACTCAATACAAGGTAAATAATATTATCAAGGAGGGCTAGAGATATAAAGGTGATGAGTAAATAACTGCTGAATGAACAATTCAAAAAATAAAGGCTGACCTTTATTAACTTTCCATATACCAATGAACAGGTTTAGGTGTCAACTGCCATCTCCTATATAGCAATTTTAATAAGGGCAAATGTTGCAAATTAGAAAATACTAAATGTCTACACCTGAGTTCTGAAAGTTTTGTGATTATTAAATTACAATATCAAAGGATCATCTCACATTAAAATAATTTTTGAAAAATGACTTTAAATATATGATTCATATTTCTTTGTTTTTCATTCTTGGAGGGAAAATTTCAAAGTCTTCATTTGTAAAACTTAAATATGTTTAAAGATATCAAACGAAATAGTTTCTACTCATTCTCATTAGTAATATCAGTTCATGCTTATTCAATCTCTAAAAATTTTGGATCATTAACCCTTCATATATGGCAATACAGTTAAAACAAAGCACCCTAAAACTTCCACTGAAGTTTTGTATGTCACAAACAACTAAAACTCAGTTTTGAAATCAAAACTCTCATGGTCTTTAAAGGCAAAGAGAAACAATAATATATTTCCTATTTTATCTACTTTAACGCCATCCAGTTTTTAGCCACACTACCTAATGGCTTATTTTTACTGGGGAGACAGTTCCGTGTGAATTTTGGATTAAGACAAACCTGATAAGTCCAGGTCATATTATTTACTACCATTTCTATGACCTGAAGTGCCTCTCTAAGCCTTAATCTTCTCACCTATAAAATAGGAGTAAAATAACAGTAGCAATTTCATGGGGTTGTGGTGTGAAGAGACAATGCATGTGAAGTGCTTAGCACATAGTGAAAACTCAATAACTACTTGCTACTAAATACATTAAGCAATAAAATCTTGTGCAAGCCTTACCATGTACAAGCACTATTCCAAGAGCTTTACATATACTCACTTTTTCAATCTTCACAACTATGACAGATGGACATTACTATTATCCTCATTTAACAGGTGAGAAACTGAAGCAAAGAGGTTCAGAACTTGCCTAAGTTTACTCAGCTACTTAGAGAGCTGGGATTTGAATCCAGTCAGTCCAGCTGTAGAGTCCTTACCCTTAAAAACTGAACTATATTCCACCTCCTGAATTAACAAGCCGCCTTAGAAAAGAAAGAGGGACAGGCAGGCCTGGTAAAGTCGAATGATTTGAGATGTTAAGGAGCACCCCTAATATCTCAAAATTAGGGCTAATCCCACTCTTCCCGCCCCACCTCCATTTAAGATACACTGAGAAATCTTTATGAAACTCAAAGTTTATGCTTAGCCAGTTTCACATTTGATGTCATCTCTTGAAAGTCCTTACTAATCAGTCTTATGCAGAGCGAGGTGGATCAGGTTAATCAACTGATCCCCAATAAAGGGAAAAGTGTTAGAAAATTGGATACTTAGGCACTGGAGCAGCACCATATGGCTGACCGACTGGGGTTTTTTAAGATGAGAGACAACATCTGACCGGTAATAAGACGTGGCCCTTCTGGGGAATGGACACGCTTGAAGCTCTGACTCCGGCAGGACAAAAACAATATGTATAACCTAAACATTTGTACCCTCGTAATACACTAAAATAAAAAATTTAAAAAATAAAATAAAAATTGATCAAAAAAAAAAAAAAAAGACGTCCCTTGACCATATGGAAACGGGATCCAACCCCGCCCCCCAAAACCAAGAAAGGGCATCAGGAGTCGATGTGAGCTGGACTTGGGGAGCGCCTCACTCCTGACCACATGGAGACCGTGACATCGTCCCCCGCAACGCCTCTGATCCACGACGCAGGTCACCTGTAGGGATTGGAATCCACCACCTCTGGGCTCATCTTCTCGATGCGGGCCCGGCAGCCCACTCCGTCGCCTCCCCCAAGGACCCGCCGACTTCTCTCCTGGGCAAGTTCCCGCTCCAGCTCCTGTACCCGCTGCTGCAGCCGCTCCACAGACTCGGCCATGGCTGGGACTCCGGCCGCCAACGCTCCCAGCCCCGGCCTTCGCCGCCGCCGCCGCCCCACGCTGCTCGGCTGGGCCCGGGAGAGGTAAACCAGAAGGCACCTAGCCGCCGCCTTCCTATCGCAGAGCCCCGGGGAAGTGCTCCCGGCGCCTGGCAAACAGACACGTCTCCGCCACTCCCAAGGGCTTTCCACGGTACCGTTTCCGGTGCGTCGTCGGCATCGCTCCCCCTCACCAAAAACCCGTCTCTTTTTGCTTCCTTCTCTGGATCGGTTAGAGTAGGCCACGACAGGACTGGCGTCATGAGTGTCCAGTGCAGGCGGCCTGCGACGTTGCCTTTCTAACTGGGCGGCCAGGAGAAACAGGATCTTTTATTGCTGGGCTAGAGGTCCTGACGGGCCGTTTTCCGAACCGGACCTAAGAGGTCTTCCGCCTGCCAGTGCATTAAATTTGGCGCTCGTAACGATGGCTGTGCCTTTGCATTCTTTAAAACCGAGGTCTCCAATTCTGAAGCTGACCGAAGAATTTAAATCAGAACACACATTGGGCTCTTCTGCCTCTTCACGACTAGATCTTAGGTCACCAGAGTCAGCGGGCAGGCGTTGCTCAGCGACGCGCTTAGCGCGTGCGTGATTGGCTAGTGCCAGTCCTCGCCCCTCTCTAGGGTGGAGCTGCTGCAACCCAGAAGGACGTTGACACTCGAGACCCGTGGATTCTGCGTTTCTGTGGCTTGCCGCGGCGGTCATGGAGGGAGATACTGCTGGCGAGGCTGATGCGGCCGAAGTGCTGCCCCAGCACAAGTTTGACTGCAAGTCCCTGGAGGCCTACCTAAACCAGCACTTGCCTGGCTTTGGGGCTGAACCCGGGGTCACACTGACCGTTGCTCAGTACAGGTATTGACGCCGGCCCTTGCCTCCAACAGAAGCAAATTTGTGTGTTGTGATTTCCTTCCTTTGGTTCCGGATGGGTTCCTAAATTTACACTATCCTGATTGCTTTTCCTGCAATAACGCACCTCTCAGGCGGGAGCTGCTACTGCCTATCCCGCTGTGTTGGATTCTGCTGGGGTCTTTCCAATAGGAGCGCAGTAGTGGAAGCGCAATGACGTTCACCATTCTGTTATCGGAAGGAATTTTTGTAAAACGATGGAATTATAAGCCTCGAGGATTCACTAAGGCAAGTGAGGTTGGAAGCTCTGTGGGAAATAGATGCCTTCTCCGACTTTTGTGCTGCAGCCATTAGGTCTTTTTTCTGAGAAGCTAGTGTAATTCGGTTTGATTGGTGGTATCCCCGGAGGCTATGTTAATGGCATCAGATGGAGAATCCGAATTCGAATCCTAGCTCTTCCACTTAGCAAGTCACAGCACCACTTTGGGCGTCGTTTTTTGTTTTTTGTTTTTGGGTTTTTTTTTTTTGAGACAGAGTCTCACTTTGTTGCCCAGGCTAGAGTGAGTGCTGTGGCGTCAGCCTAGCTCACAGCAACCTCAAACTCCTGGGCTCAAGCAATCCTCCTGCCTCAGCCTCCCAAGTAGCTGGGACTACAGGCATGCGCCACCATGCCCAGCTTATTTTTCTATATATATATTAGTTGGCCAATTAATTTCTTTCTATTTATAGTAGAGACAGGGTCTCGCTCTTGCTCAGGCTGGTTTCTAACTCCTGACCTTGAGCGATCAGCCCGCCTGGGCCTTCCAGAGTGCTAGGATTACAGACGTGAGCCACCTCGCCCCGCCCCGTTTTTTGTTTTTGTTTTTGTGTTTTCTTTAAGCGAGAGTGTGGAACTGCGTGAAATGATCCTGAGAGTACCGTTCCCCATCGTGAATCTGGCTTCAGTCTGATGTTTTATAATAGATAAAGTTTTAAAACTTTATTCTAAAAATATTTTTGTAAATATAAGGTTATAGAAAGAGTCCTAGCATTCAGAAAACCGGATCTGCCACTTACTGTGTGGGAGTTTAAGTGTGGCGTAAACTCTGAGAACTAGTATGGTAACTTGTAATACCATGCCTGTTGTGATTGGTCCTGATAATGAAATGAAGTATGGTAATGTGGGCGAAAGGGCACAGTCTACTAGTGACATTTTGTCACTGGCATTTATATTTTTTGACTACTAATTTTAGTGGAAATGAAAATGGTAAAGGAGATGAATCAGAATTTTGTGGTGTAGAATTAAAAGGCCCCATGTCTCAATGTATATTTGAGGGTGAAGGAAAAGGTGGAATAAAGAATAGCTGAGATTTTTAACCTAGAAGCCATGTGTTGTAAACAAACTAAAAAAGATCAAAGTTCAAATTTCAACTATTACACTTGCTGTGGAGTTTGGACAAGTTACCCTTTAGCATCAAATCCTGCTTAAGGGGTTTTAAAGAGTTATGTAACTGATGGCCGGACCCAGCGGCTCACGCCCATAATCCTAGCACTCTGGGAGACCGAGGGCGGGGCGGATCACTCAAGGTCAGAAGTTCGAAACCAGCCTAAGCAAGAGTGAGACCGCCGTCTCTACTAAAAATAGCAAGAAATTAATTGACCAACTAAAAATATACATAGAAAAAATTAGCCAGGCATGATGGCTAATGCCTGTAGTCCCAGCTACTCAGGAGGCTGAGGCTGGAGGATTGCTTGAGCCCAGGAGTTTGAGGTTGCTGTGAGCTAGGATGACTCCACGGCACTGTAGCCACGGCACTGTAGGGCAACAGAGTGAGACTCTGATTCAAAAAAAAATCTTAAAAAAAGAGTTATGTAACTGAAAGATACTTAATTTTGAACTAAATTGAATGTTGAATAAACTATAATTGTGCTCAATAATGAAATTAGATGTCATAAAAATTGCTTCTAGAACTGTTATGTGAGCTTGATTAAATAAGTATGGAACTATAGTTCCCACAGAGAATACACATTCATTTCTAGAACACATGAAAAAGTTTGTAAAAATTGAAAACATGTGAAGCCACAAGGGAAGTCTCAAAAATTCTAAATATCATCATTTTTTATGATTTTTACTCTGAAAATATGGGAGTTTTTTAAATGCCAAAATTTTAACAAAAGCAACTAAGAAATACATGTTTAGAAACTAATTGATTCAAAGATGAAAGAGCCAATAATCAACACAGATAATAGTTTATACTTTAGCAACAGTAAAAATATAATTTTCATAAAGCTATAAGAGCATCAGAAGATATAAATTACCTAAATATTAATATAATAAAAGAAGTGGAAGACCTTTGTAGAAAAACTGACAAAACCTTATTAGGACCTTAAAAAATTTTAAACATTGAGAGATGCCATGTTCTTTGTAAAATTCAATATTATAAATATTTCTTCCAACTTATCTGTAGATTCAATTCAATGGCAATCAAAATCCTAATTTTTTCCCTCTAATTTGAAAAATTAGAGGGAAATTTTATGTTCAACAGCAAAGAACTAAGAATAGAAGAAAACACTCCTAAGAACAACAAAATGTGAAATTTGAATTAAGATGGCATGATATTAGCACAAAGATAGACCAATGAAATAGAAGAGAGATTTCACAAAAAGACCCACATGCTTATAGAATAATATATGACAGTGCTGACATTGAGAGTCAGTGAGGGGAAGAGAAGGACTCTTCAAGAAATTGTACTGGAATAATTGTTATCTAGTTGTATGAAAAAATAGAAATTAGATGCCTTACTCTACCTCACATAGTCAGGTGGATAACAGTTCTGAATGTAAAAATAAAACTATAAATATTTGGAGACGTATGATTTTATAACTTTGGATTAAAGAAGAAAGAAATTATTTAAAAAGACAAAAGTAGAAACCATAAGAAATGACTAATAAATTTTTGTTAAAGACTTCTTAATGTGAAAACACAAGCAAATATTTCAGTACCATATAATGGTTAAAAGGTTATTCTCCAGAAGTATAACGACATATCCCAACAGAAATAATGCACAAAGACTTGAAGATCCTTAAACTTCCATTCCATGGCAGTAATAAGGGAATCTAAATCCAAAAAACATTGCGAAACCATTTCACATCACCAGGATTGAGTTTTTAAAAAAAACTGACAATAGATCGCATTAGTAAGGCAACAGAGACTCATACAGGGTATGAATTAGTAGAGTTACCATTGAGGAAACAACTTGGCGTGATCTTGCAAAAATCAATTGGAAAGATATACATGCCCCATGACCAAGCAGATTCTATTCCAAGATGTAACTCTTTCTTCTGAGATGATTGCTCCAAACAAAAGTATCAGGGGAATCTATCAATAAATCATTCTAGGCACTGCTTGTAACTAGCAAAATCCAGGAACAATATGTTATCCAACTAGACATGGATGAGATACATTCGTATCATATTAACTAAAGGAATACCATTACGAGCATGAAATTGTCAGCTACAGCTGTAGATAACAACACGTAATAAACAGACAAATAACACACCATCATTGTTTGAAGGAAGATAAACTTTCAGGAAGAATAAATACATGAGCGTCCTATCTCTCCAAAGGGAAGAGACACACAAGAGGCTTCAAATACATGGTAATTTTCTAGAGTAATCGAAAATGGTGTTTGTGGGGCATTATTTCCTTATGTTTACAATTTTGTAAATATTGTTTTCATGCAAATTATTTTAAATTGCAAAGTTAAAATCCTACCTTGAATACAAATTACGAGTTAACACAATAAATGACACAAGCAGTATACTACACGGCTTGATACAACCAAAATTGTGATTTGCAGCTGAGTGCCCAATTTGATCGGCCACTGCTCTACCACTGGGGGATATAACAAACAAAGAAATCTTGCCTCTCCTTGGAACTTGCCATGTCTATTGAGAGAAGAGCAGACAATTAGCCAAAATAAATCTAATTATCAAACCAATGTAGTAGAATTGATATGGTCTACGGGGGAAAAGAAAGGAATAGGTAAATCGTTTGGGTTGGAGCAAGAGGCCCTTCACTGAGAAGGTGGACTTCAGCAAGACTTGAAGAAAGAAGGATAATGAGCCTATCGTAAATACCCTGAGATATGTTCCAGGCAGGGGACGCACTAATGCAAAGACCCGAAGGGGGAGTGTGCCTAGTGTGTTGAGGAATATTGGCCCAATCGTTAAGGTAGTGTCAGCCCAAGGCAACAGAAACCTATCATCTCATATAAGTACTTTGGTTTACTTTCGAGTTGAGACGGAAATGAGTTTTTCAGCAGAGAAGGAAGTTTGTCTTTTTTAAAAAAAAAAAAAAGAACGCTACATTTACCCTGTTGAAGTTGACTAAAGTGCAACGCAAGAAGCAAGGAGACGTGTATTCGTGTTCTAGTAAGACATTAGGCATGACCAGAGTGGTAGTTGAATAGGTGAGAGGTTCCACGCCTAACTTCCATTCACTGACAACCACATAAATGATGTGGTTCCATAGATTATAATACCATAATTTTTACTGTACCTTTTTTTTTTTTTTTTTTTTAATAAAGTCTCACTCGTGCCTGGGCTGAGGCCATGTGTTCAGGCCTGGCTCACAGCAACTCAAACCTCTGGAAGCTCAAGCGATTTGTTCTGGCCTCAGCACCCCGGACTATGAGCATGTCACCATGCCGGCTAATTTTCTATTATATATTTTATTTGGACGAATTAATTATTCTATTTTTAGTAGAGACAGGTCTCACTCTTGCTCAGGCTGGTTTAGAACTCCTGACTTGAGCAATGCCTCCCGCCTCCCCGGCTCGCAGAGTGCTAGATCTGCAGGTGGTCAGCCACTGCACCCAGCTCGTACCGTTTTACTTCATGATTAGCTATGTTTAGATACACAAGTGTTACCTTGTGTCATAATTTCCTCTAATTTCTGTTACATAATAGCTGTCAGGTTTGTAGCCTAGGGAGGGCAATGACTAATAACCAACGAGCCTACGTATATAGTAGAACTATGTCAATCTAGTTTGTGTAAATACACTCTTTGAATTTTGCACAATACGAAATCACCTCATTAATCCCAGACATATCATCATTAAGCAACACAGACTATGTATGAGGAATAACTAACTGATAGTTCGATAGGAGAAAACAGAGACAAAGAATGAAAAGATATTCTATTTTGCCATTGTAGCTGAAGTATGAGGTTTTATAAACTGAAATAGAGATGACTACTGAAAAGCAGATTTGGGAAGACTATCAGGGAACTCAATTGTATGTAATTTCAAAACCTTTTAGACCATCCAGGTACAAATTATGTAGTAAGCAGTTGGATAGTCTAAGTTTAAATGGACTAGACCATAAAATTTAGGATCATTGACAAGTATTTAAACAAAAGATTAAAGAGTTTACTGAAAAAAGTGAGTCTGCATAAAGATATAGAAACTGAGGTCTAAGGCACCCAATATTAAGAATTGGGGAATGATGAGGATCTACAAAAGAGTCTGAGTGAGTGCCAAAGGGTAGGGAAAACCAGGGTTGTTTTGGTGACCTTGAAAGCAGTGTTAGGGGAAAGATGGGAATAAAAGCCTGATTGAATTGGATTTAAGAAGATGGGGAGGAGAATTGGAGCGCGAGTGTAAACAACTTTTCAGGAGTCTTCAACAAATGGGAAAGATTATTTTAAGTGGAGGAAGTGAGGACAAGAGAAGGCTTTAAAAAACACATGTTTGTAGCTAATGGTAGTGATCTAGAAGATGGAAAAAGGTGTAGGAAAAGGCCTGGAAAGAAGTTTTTAAGAAGGCTAAATCTAATTCAAAAGAGAGAGGGTTTTCTAGATAGGTAGTAAACATCCATTATAGACTCTGGACGGAAGATAAATATATATGCAATGATAGAGTAGCTATTCGGCTTATGGAAGTTCTCATCTGATTGTTCCTATTTTCTTGTTGAAATAGTAAGTAATTAGCCAGGAGTGAAAATAGAGAAGAAGGTGTTTGAGGGTTGAGGGGAGAGGAGAAATTATGAAATAATCACCTAAGAGCATGGGAGAATGAATAGGCTTTGGAAATGTGATTGCCAAGTGGAGTTCACTTTGAGGTTCATGGTCATGAATCTGAAGCAAGAATAGTTATTTTAGTAGATATTATTGATGTTTTGCCCAGATCCTCTTGGATCCTTTATTACTATTTCCATGGACACCCTGCCTTTGTTGGGTTTTGCTTCCAATAGCCAACACTTATGGCTCTTTTTTGGTGAACTGCCCTCATGCTACTGGAGCCACTTTTGCCCCAGCTGTTGTAGTACCTGATATGGACCTTAACCAACAGTGATTTGGGAGTATGAAATCTCCATTAGCCTTGTTTTTATTTGGTTTGTTTTGGGCATAAATTTCATGTAACATAAAATTCACAATTTTAACAATTTTAAGGTATACAATTCAGTTGTTTTTAGTATATTCACAATGTTATGCAACTATCATCACTATCTAATTCCAGAACATTTCTATCACTCCTAAAAGAAGCCCTATACCTCCCCGATTTTTTCCTCCTCCTCTTCCCTGGCAGCCACTAATCTACTTTCTGTCACTGTGGATTTGCCTATTCTGGACATTTCTTAGAAATGGAATCACATAATATGTAGTCTTTTGTGACTGGTTTCTTTCACTTAATGTTTTCAAGGTTTGTCCATGTTGTAGTATATATCAGCATTCCATTCATTTTTATGGCCAAGCAATAGTCCATTGTATTGGTATGCCACATTTTGTTGATCCTTTCATCTGCTGATGGACATTTCCAATTTTTTGCTATTGTGAATAGTGCTGCTGTACACATTCATGTATAAGTTTTTGTGTGAATTTTCTGGGTCATGTGATAACTCTGTTTTCAACAAGAAGCTTTTAATTTTCCCTTTACATTTCATCTGAGTCACTTGCCATCATGAAAGACCAATGCTTTACATATGATTTGAGAACTTTCTCATCAAAAATGCATCCAATCAGATGTTTGACATTTTTTAAAAATGTGTTTGTAAGGTTCATAGCAATAGACTCTTTGCAGCATCACATAAATTGTCCCATGTCAGTAAAGACAGCATGGCCTGAGGTGGTTCCCTTTCCTGACCATTGGTGATCATCTCCACTTTTCTGTTAAAAGGCACCCACACCAGATTAGATGGTGCCAAGGTCCAAGTTCTTTGATATGACTGCTAGGGAAGATGGGTCTGGCTTGTAGGAGAAAAATGTAGACTACCGCATTCCATCTGGGCTCACTCTTGTTCTTTTCCTGATGGAGGATGGAGTCCTGAGAAGAATCTTCAAAGGTTTTTTTTGTTTTGTTTTGTTTTGTTTTGTTTTGTTTTGTTTTGTTTCCCACTTTCTCCTAGTACCTGTTACCTCAGGGATTGATTCTTCTCTTTATTTAATTTGGAGTCTCTCTTTCGTACTGTTGGATTTTGGGTGATCCTTAACTGCCCATATGATAAGTGAAAGTGTAGATTGAATAGTCTTGATCACTGGAGTATGGATCCTTATTCCATGTGAGAATTTCTGTTCCTCTAGCAGGGAACAGCCAGTGCCCTGGTGTCTGTGAGTTAGCTGGGGCACCATGGCACTTTCCTGGCCCATTTGCTTACTTTGGGACCTCACTTATCGGATCTCCCATTGTAGAGAGCTGTACTCAGGTGCTAGCCTTGGTGACATATATGGGGGTTATCTCTATAAGGGTAGATAAGTGGGCACTAATCCAGCTGATCAGCATCCTTTAATTGATTTTTTGACAGATCACTTACAATCTCTTCTCTCAGCTTTTGTTTACTTTTATCAGAAGTACCCATTGTTCTAGAGGTACTTCTAGTAAAACATGATTTGTAGTCAGGAGGTAGGATACTCCTTCTACCTGTGTGGGTCAGAGATTCTTCAACTGCCAGTGTGTTGCTATCTGCTTTAATATCCAGAAACTGATGTTATAAGCTGCTGGTAGCACCCCTCTTGGCTTCCCAGCATTAAGATGGATTTATTTTTATTTCCTGCTCCTTCTGACATCTCAGTAGGATTTGAGGGAGAAGGAAAACATATTTTTGTAATTGACCCTTTCTTTACTTTTATCTAGATCAGGACAATCCAATCCAACCTTTTATCTCCAAAAGGGCTTTCAAGTGTATGTACTCAGGAAAAAACCACCAGGTCCACTTCTTCCTAAAGCACATAAGGTATAGTATACAAATGATAAATTATTTGGTGACAAATAAATGTTTTCTATACATACAAAATTGATTTAAATTGCTTTTAAAAGTCATCCTATAATTCCTAAATAATAGAAAATGTATTTTATTTCTAATTAAAATTTCACTTGAATTCTTTTTTGTTTTTAAAAAGGATTTGAGGTTGAAATCTAGGGCTGTCTTTAGGCTATTAATCTTGAGGAACACCCAGTTCTCTTGTGGATTTGATTTCTCCCTATACACTTGGCTAAACATACAATCAGCGAATGAGTATTTTCAGTGCTACTCATTTATACATGTTTTGTTTATTGTTATGTATTTAAATTATTGTATCTAATAACAGTATCTACTTGCTGAATTATTTTAATATATTTCCTGTGACAATCTTTTAATATTTTGGTGATAAAAAGAAAAGTTTGATTAAGAATTTTATAATATTCTCTAAATATTAGAATTATATAAATTTTTCTATTTTCAGAAAAAAGTTATTATCTATGGATTTTTATAGAACAGGAGAAGATAGGAATCAAATTCCTAGAGTACATTAAAAGCACTGTGCATATTTAAAGTATTACTGTAATCGCAGATAGCAGGTGCTTCCCTGGCTCAGCTCACTGGGGAAGGACCACTGTGGAGTGGTCTTAATATTACAGTAATAGAAGATACAGACTTTAACTTCCTTGATCCCACTGTATTCCCAGAAACATGGAGAAACTTGGATGCTTAAAATAAAAAAACTTTCAATGCTCAGTGCTAGAAAAATAAAACAAGCAAACAAACAAAAAAGTTGGGTAACTTTTATTAAATGCCAACATGGCATGGCTGAAGGAGAATCCCCACCTGTGCTCAGGATTTATACACTATATAATCAGCTCTATTTGGCTCTCTTCTTTTTTTTTTTTAGGGACTGAGTCTTAAGGCACCCTCAATATTAAGAAGTTGGGGATGAAGAGGAATCTACAAAGAGTCTGAGAATGATGGCCAAAGAGGTAGGGAAACCAGGGTTTGTTTGGTGACCTTGAAAAGCAGTGTTAGGGGAAAGATGGGAATAAAAGCCTGATTGAATTGGATTTAAGAAGATAGGAGGAGGAGAATTGGAGCAGGGAGTGTAACAACTTTTCAGGAGTCTTTCAACAAATGGGGATACAAATATTTTAAGTGGAGGAGGAAGTGAGGACAGAGAAGGCTTTAAAAAATAACATGTTTGTAGCTAATGGTAGTGATCTAGAAGATGGAAAAAATGTGTAGGAGAAAGGCCTGGAAAGAGTTTTAGAAGGCTAGAATCTATTCAAAAGAGAAGGGTTTTCCTTAGATAGGTAGTAAACATCCATTTATAGACTCTGGACGGAAGATAATATATGCAATAGATAGAGTAGTATTCGCTTATGGAAGTTCTCATCTGATTGTTCCTATTTTCTTGTTGAAATAGTAAGTAATTAGCCAGGAGTGAAATAGAGAAGAAGGGTTTGAGGGTTGAGGGGAGAGGAGAAATTATGAAATAATCACCTAGAGCATGGAGAATGAATAGGCTTTGGAAATGTGATTGCCAAGTGGAGTTCACTTTGAGGTTCATGGTCATGAATTTGAAGCAAGAATAGTTTTTAGTAGATATTATTGATGTTTTGCCCAGATCCTCTTGGATCCTTATTACTATTCCATGGAACCCTGCCTTTGTTGGGTTTTGCTTCAATAGCCAACCTTATGGCTCTTTTTGTTTGAACTGCCCTCATGCTACTGGAGCCACTTTTGCCGCAGCTGTTGTAGTACCTGATATGGACCTTAACCACAGTTTTGGTGGGGTATGAAATCTCCATTAGCTTGTTTTGTTGGTTGTTTTGGGCATAAATTTCGTGTAACATAAAAATTCACAATTTTACAATTTTAAGGTATACAATTCAGTTGTTTTGTATATTCACAATGTATGCAACTATCATCACTATCTAATTCCAGAACATTTCTATCACTCCTAAAAGAAGCCCTATACCTCCCCGATTTTCCTCCTCCTATTCCCTGGCAGCACTAATCTACTTTCTGTCACTGTGGATTTGCCTATTCTGGACATTTCTTGAAAAATGGATCACATAATTTTGTAGCAAAAATCCAGGAAACAATATTTATCAATAGAATGGATGAATACATTGTAGTATATTTATATAATGGAATACCATACAGCAGTGAAAATGGTTCAGCTACAGCTGTACATAACACAGTAATAAACATGGACAAATAAACAGCATATTGTTTAAGGAGATAAACTTTCAGGAAATGATAAATATAAAATTGAACGCTCTGTCTCTCCAAAGGGAAGAGACACACAGAGAGCTTCAAATACATGGTAATTTTCTTAGAGTAATGAAAATGGTGTTTGTGGCATTATTCCTTATGTCTTACAAATTTTGTAAATATTGTTTTCATGCAAAATTGATTTTAAAAATTTGCAAAAGTTAAATCCTATTGGAAATACAAAATATTTAGAGTTAAACAATAATAAAAGCATTATATAGCTTGATACAACAAAACTGTGATTTGCAGCTGAGTGCCCAATGTGTATCCGGCACTGTCTCTACCACTGGGGATATAACAAACAAAAAAATCTTGCCTCCTTGGAACTTCCATTCTATTTGAAGAAGACAGACAATAAGCAAAATCAATTTCTAAGTATCACAATGTAGTAGAAGTTGATATGTACTATGGGGGAAAAGAGAATAGGAAATGTTTGGGGTTGGAGCAGGAGGGCTTCACTGAGAAGGTGGCATTCAGCAAAGCTTGAAGGAAAGAAGGATATGAGCCATGTAAATACCTGGAAGATGAGTGTTCCAGGCAGAGGGGACCACTAATGCAAAGACCCCGAAGGGGGAGTGTGCCTAGTGTGTTGAGGGAATATTGGCCAATTGGTTAAGGTAGTGTCAGCAAGGGCAACAGAAACCCTATCAGTCATCATAAAGACTTTGGCTTTTACTTTGAGTTGAGACAGGGAGAAATTAGAGGTTTTTCAGCAGAGAAGGGAAGTGATTTGTCTTTTTTTTTTAAAAAAAAAAAGAAGCTACATTTACTCTGTTGACTAAAGTGGGCAAGGGCAGAAGCAAGGAGACCAGTGTATTACAGTGTTCCAGTAAAGAGACATTAGTGGCATGAGCCAGAGTGGTAGTGTAGAATAGGTGAGAAGTGGTCAGTCACGCGCTGCATAATGAACTTTCAGTTCAATGACAGACCACATAAATGATGGTGGTTCCATGAGATTATAATACCATATTTTTATGGACCTTTTGTTTTTTGGTTTTGTTTTTTTTTTGAAATAAAGTCTCACTCTGTTGCCTGGGCTAGAGTGCCATGGTGTCAGCCTAGCTCACAGCAACCTCAAACTTCTGGGCTCAAGCATTTGTTCTGCCTCAGCCTCCCAAGTACCTGGGACTATGAGCATGTGCCACCATGCCCAGCTAATTTTTTCTATATATATTTTTATTTGGACAATTAATTTCTTTCTATTTTTAGTAGACAGGGTCTCACTGTTACTCAGGCTGGTTTAGAACTCCTGACCTTGAGCGATCCTCCTGCCTCGGCCTCCCAGAGTGCTAGGATTGCAGGTGTCAGCCACCGCACCCAGCCTACTGTACCTTTTCTATGATTAGCTATGTTTAGATACACAAGTGCTTACCATTGTGTCATAATTTCCTCTAATATTTGTTACAGTAATATGCTGTCCAGGTTTGTAGCCTAGGGGCAATAGACTATATACCACACAGCCTACGTATATAGTAGACTATGTCATCTAGGTTTGTGTATATACACTCTATGAAATTTGCACAATTACGAAATCACCTAACATTTCCTCAGACATATCCCCATCATTAAGCAACACATGACTGTATTTTGAAGGAATAACTAACTGATTAGATGTAGAGTAGGAAAGGAAAACAAGAGACAAAGATTGAAAGATTATTCTATTTTTGCCTTGGTAACTGGAAGTATGAGGTTATTATAAACTGAAATAGAGATGACTACTGAAAAGCAGATTTGAGGAAGACTGTCAGGAACTCAATTTTGTAATGTTAAGTTTCAAGATACCTTTTAGACATCCAGGTAAATATGTAGCGTAAGCAGTTGGATATGTCTTAAGGTAGAATAGACTAGACATAAATTTGGGAATCATTGACAAACATATTTAAAAACAAAAGATCAAAGAGTTTACCTGAAAAAATGAGTCTGCATAAAGAGTGATTTAGGGACTGGTCTAAGGCACCTCAATATTAAGAAGGGTTGGAATGAAGAGGATCTACAAAAGAGTCTGAGAATGAGTGGCCAAAGAGGTAGGGAAAACCAGGGTTGTTTTGGTGACCTTGGAAAGCAGTGTTAGGGAAAGATGGGAATAAAGCCTGATTGAATTGGATTAAGAAGAATAGGAGGAGGAGAATTGGAGCAGGAGTTAAACAACTTTTCAGGAGCTTTTCAACAAATGGGATACAAATATTTTAAGTGGAGGAGGAAGTGGACAAAGAAGGCTTTAAAAAATAACATGTTTGTAGCTAATGGTAGTGATCTAGAAGATGGAAAAAAATGTGTAGGAGAAAGGCCTGAAAAATTTAGAAGGCTAGAATCTAATTCAAAAGAGAAGGTTTTCCTTAGATAGGTAGGAAACATCCATTTATAGACTCTGGACGGAAGATAATTATATGCAATAGATAGAGTAGTATTCGCTTATGGAAGTTCTCATCTGATTGTTCCTATTTTCTTGTTGAAATAGAAGTATTAGCCAGGAGTGAAAATAGAGAAGAAGGTGTTTGAGGGTTGAGGGAGGGAGGAGAAATTATGAAATAATCACCTAAGAGCATGGAGAATGAATAGGCTTTGGAAATGTGATTGCCAAGTGGAGTTCACTGGTTGAGGTTCATGGTCATGAATTTGAAGCAAGAATAGTTATTTTAGTAGATATTATTGATGTTTTGCCCAGGATCTCTTGGATCCTTTATTATATTCCATGGACACCTGCCTTTGTTGGGTTTTGCTTCAATAGCCACCTTATGGCTCTTTTTTGTTGAACTGCCCTCATGCTACTGGAGCCACTTTTGCCCCAGCTGTTGTAGTACCTGATATGGACCTTAACCAACAGTGATTTGGGAGTATGAATCTCCATTAGCCTTGTTTTTTTTTGGTTTTTTGGCATAATTCGTGTAACATAAAATTCACAATTTTAACAATTTTAAGGTATACATTCAGTTTTTTAGTATATTCACAATGTTATGGCAACTATCATCACTATCTATTCCAGAACATTTCTATCACTCCTAAAAGAAGCCCTATACCTCCCCGATTTTTTCCTCCTCCTATTCCCTGGCAGCCACTAATCTACTTTCTGTCACTGTGGATTGCCTATTCTGGAATTCTTAGAATGGAATCACATAATATGTAGTCTTTTGGACTGCGTTCTCTTCACTTAATGTTTTCAAGGTTTGCCATGTTGTAGTATATATCAGCATTCCATTCATTTTATGGCAGCAATAGTCCATTTGAATTGGCTATGGCCACATTTTTGTGATCCTTTCATTGCTGATGACATTTCCAATTTTTTGCGCTATTGTGAATAGTGCTGCTGTACACATTCATGTATAAGTTTTGGTGTGAATTTCTGGTCATTGATAACTCTGTTTTCAACAAGAAGCTTTTAATTTTCCCTTACATTCATCTGAGTCACTGGCCATCATGAAAACCAATGCTTTACATATGATTTGAGAACTTTCTCATCAAAATGGCATCCAATCAGGATGTTTGACATTTTAAAATGATTTTGTAAGGTCATAGCGCAATAGACTCTTTGCAGATCACAAATAAATTGTCCCATGGTCAGTAAAGACAGCATGGCCTGAGGTGGTCCCTTCCTGACCTTGTGGATCATCCACTTTCTGTTAAAAGGCACCCACCACGATTAGATGGTGCCAAGGTCCAAGTTTTGATATGACTGCTAGGGAAGATGGGTCGGCTTGTCGAAGAAAATGTAGACTACCGCATTCCATCTGGGCTCACTGTTTCTTTTCCTGATGGAGGATGGAGTCCTCGGAAGAATCTTCAAGGTTTTTTTTGTTTTGTTTGTTTATTTTGTTTTGTTTCCCACTTCTCCTAGTACCTGTTACCTCAGGGATTGATTCTTTCCTTTTTAATTTGGAGTCTCTTTCGTTACTGTTGGATTTTGGTGTGATCCTTAACTGCCCATATGATAAGGTGAAAGTGTAGATTGAATGTCTTGATCACTGAGTATGGATCCTTATTCCATGTGAGAATTTCTGTTCCTCTTAGCAGGGAACAGCCAGTGCCCTGGTGTCTGTGAGTAGCTTGGGCACCATGGCACTTTCCTGCGGCCCATTTGCTTACTTTGGGACCTCACTTATCGGATCTCCCATTGTAGAGAGCCTGACTCAGGTGCTAGCCTTGGTGACACATATTGGGGTTATCTCTATAAGGGTAGATAAGTGGGCACTAATCCAGCTGGATCAGCATCCTTTAATGATTTTTGACAGATCACTTACAATCTCTTCTCTCAGCTTTTGTTTACTTTTATCAGAAGTACCATTGTCTAGAGGTACTTCTAGTAAACATGATTTGTAGTCAGGAGGTAGGATATCCTTCTACCTGTGGTGGTCAGAGATTCTTCAGCTGCCAGTGTGTTGCTATCTGCTTTAATATCCAGAAACTGATGTTAAGCTGCTTGGTAGCACCCTCTTGGCTCCAGCATTAAGGATGGGATTTATTTTTTATTTCCTGCTCCTTCTGACATCTCAGTAGGTTGGGATAGAGAAGGAAACATATTTTTGTAATTGACCCTTTCTTTACTTTATCTAGATCAGGACAATCCAATCCAACCTTTTATCTCCAAAAGGGCTTTCAAGTGTATGTACTCAGGAAAAACCACCAGGTTCACTTCTTCCTAAAGCACATAAGGTATAGGTATACAAATGATAATTATTTGGTGACAAATAAATGTTTCGTATACATACAAAATTGATTAATTGCTTTTAAATCATCCTATTAATCCTAAATAATAGAAATGTATTTTATTTCTAATTAATTCACTTGAATTCTTTTTTTTTTCAAAAGGATTGAGGTTGAAATCTAGGGCTGGTCTTTAGGCTATTAATCTTGAGGAACACCCAGTTCTCTTGTGGATTTGATTTCTCCTATACCTTTGCTAACATTACAATCAGCGATGATATTTTCAGTGCTACTCATTTATACATGTTTTGTTTATTGTCATGTATTAAATTATTGTTCTATAACAGTATCTATTGTGAATATTTTGATATTTCCTGTGACATCTTTATATATTTTGGTGATAAAAGAAAGAGTTGATTAAGAATTTTATAATATTCTCTAAATATAGATTATATAATTTTTCTATTTCAGAAAAAGTTATTATCTATGGATTTTATAGAAACAGGAGAAGATAGGAATCAAATTCTAGAGTACATAAAAGCACTGTGCATATTTAAAGTATTACTGTAATCGCAGATAGCAGGGTGCTTCCCTGGCTCAGCTCACTGGTGGAAGGACACTGTGGAGTCGTGTCTTATATTACAGTAATAGGAAGATACAGACTTTAACTTCCTTGATCCCACGTATTCCCAGAAACAGTGGAGAAACTTGGATGCTTAAATAAAAACTTTCCAAATGCTCAGTGCTGAAAATAAAACAGCAAACAAACAAAGGTTGGTACTTTTATTAAATGCCAACCATGGCATGGCTGAAGGAGAATCCCCCTGTGCTCAGGATTTATACAGCCATATAATCAGCTTTTGCTCTCTTCTTTTTTTTTTTTTTTTTAACGAGACAGAGTCTCACTTTTGTTGCCTAGGCTAGAGTGCCGTGGTGTCAGCTTAGCTCACAGCAACCTCAAACTCCTGGGATCAAGCAATCCTCCTCCTCCCTCAGCCTCCCCAGTAGCTGGGACTACAGGCATGTACCACCATGCCCAGCTAATATATGTGTGTGTGTTGGTAGTATATTATATAATATAGCTATTACATAGCGTGATGATAATATAGCCAATTAATTTCTTTCTATTTATAGTAGAGACGGGGTCTCACTCTTGCTCAGGCTGGTTTTGAACTCCTGACCTTGAGCAATCCGCCCTCCTTGGCCTCCCAGAGTGCTAGGGTTGCAGACGTGAGCCACCACCCCCGCCTGGCCTGGCTCTCTTCTTGATAACATCCTACCAGAACACGTCAGAATGTAACATAATTCTCTCAGCCCAAGTACATCCCCAAGGGTCTGGAGTACTTTGTTTCAACTCCCTTCATTTTCCCCAATTCTGAATTGAAAAAAGCAGTGCTCCCACTCTGCCATCCATTTTTTGCCTTCCTAACCCTTTTGTACTTTCCCTTTGACCACCCCATGCTCATTTTCCCACCAGGGTGCTGCTTAGACATGGGTTTAGTTACTTCCCTTTATTACTTTAGTTATTGCTGCCTCAGCTGTTTTACTCCTTGGTGTCAAAATGACCTGCATTGTTTCCCTTCCTTACATCGGTCTGTCACCCTTGCCTGAGTCTAGGGCAAGGTGACTTTACATGCAGATGAATCATCCTTACATGGTCTGCATCTCAACCCTGCTGTAAGCTGTGCCCTTGAGTCCTGAGTGATAGAGGTCATTTTCTTCTCACTATCATGTCTGGGCTCCTGCTTCAGTACAAGTTTGCTTCTAATGGCCTACTTTCCCAGTAGTTACCTTGAGTTCCATAGCAGCTCTAGGTACCAGGAAGGATCCCCACACCCCTGCCTTGGAAACAGCCTCCTTTGATCTCCAGAAGGGGCAGGTGTTTTTCCCTTCCCACCACTACCCACTACCTGCCCAAGCTCCCTGTAGTTGACTGTGGTAGAGTGCTAGAATAGAGACTTATCTGAGCCTCCTTGGGAGAAATGAATGAAAGAGAGCAAGCCAGTGAGCAGAAAACTGCAGAGAACAAAGGAGAAAGGGATGTTTTATGATAAAATCTGAGAAATATTGGCTAGTCACTGTGGCTTATACCTGGAATCCAAGCACTCTGGGAGGCTGAGATGGGAGAGTTGCTTGAACGGTTCAAGACCAGCGTGGGCAACAGTAAGACCTCTCTCTCTACAAAAAAGTTAAAAAATTTAGCCACTCATGGTGGCAGGTGCCTGTAGTCCCAGCTACTTGTTAGGCTGAGGCAGCAGGATCACTTGGGCCCAGGAGTTTGAGGCTGCAGTGAGCTATGATCACACCACTGCACTCCAGCCAACAGAGCAAGGCCCTGTCTCAAAAAAAAAAAGTGTGAAATATTATGGTCAGGAACTATTGCCTTCATATTAACAAAACCAAGATTAAGCCCCATGCAGGTACCCATCTTTTTATCCTAACTAAATTATCATTTTTAGTGTTAATCTAATTTATAATTTTGATTACATTAACATTAAGGAAATTATTGCTGTTATCTTCTCAGTTATTTGTTGACACTGTTTTACAATTGATTTCTAGCCTGTGAGTTATTAAATTTCTATGTCTCTGATTTTTAATAATCCATCATCCTATTTAGATTGACAGAGAATTTAAAGTCCAGAAAGCCTTGTTTTCTGTTGGATTCCCTGTTCCCAAGCCTATACTGTACTGCAGTGATGCATCTGTCATTGGAACAGAATTTTATGTGATGGAACATGTGCAGGTAAATTAACAATCTTATTTTATTGCTTTTATTTTTAATTATGAAGTTAGTTATGATGCTTTATTAGATGTTTTATTTTAATATTTATAAATTATATATTTTATTATTCGATATTTTAGATAATTGGTTTGCTTTGCAAAGGCTTAAAATTTTGTTTTAATTTGACCACACACAATGAAGGAGGGATGAAAAAGATGAGGAGCAAATTTAGTAATTGTTGCATCTTGACGTATTCTTAAATTCTCCTGTAGGTGTCAGCAAAGAGCTATAAGTAATGGCAACAACCAATAACCTTATCAGGGAAAAGCAATTCCATATGGGACGATCAAGCCATTGAGAATAATAAATTCAAATAGTATTTTAATTTGTTGTTTGTAAAATGTAAGTTGAGAATAATTTTGACTTTTAAGTTCATCTTGGCATCTTGTATTTTCCCTTTGTCATATATACTCTAATATTAAACATGTTTCACAAATGAATGTTTTTCTAACATATTCTACAAAGTATAGCTTTTGGTTGCAAAACTTTTAAATTATCTATTGTAATCACTTCCATAGGGTCGAATCTTTCGTGATCTCTCAATACCTGGAGTTAGCCCAGCAGAACGTTCAGCCATATATGTGGCCATGGTAGAAACCTTGGCGCAGTTACATTCCTTGAATATACGGTCATTGCAGCTGGAAGAATTTGGTATAGGTGCTGGGTACTGCAAAAGGCAGGTAATGCATCCACATAAAGAGCTACTTTTTTTCAAGTTCTTGGAAATAATATACATTATTAGTCAAAATATATGATTGTATAGTTTTCTGAAGCTTGGCTATGACTTTAACATTATCCTTCAGATTAACTTGTTTTTGGCGTAAAATAACCTTTTATTTTTAAATCAGGTTTTGTTCAGCCAAATATTCTGTTCCAGACTCTTCACTTAATTTACCAATACTCTTTCTATACAGTTTCCCTTTCTAAGTTGGGCTAGCAGACATTATTAAGCTTGACTGTGTGTTTAATACCTGCTGAATACTGTTGTTAAATACATATTTTTTAAAAATAGAAATAAGTTCTTCCCCTAGAGGATCTTTTGGTCATTTTTGAGAGACCTATATGTGAATCTCATATTCATGAAACTTGAAAATGGTATAAAAGTGTATAAAATCTAGTGGTAAATTGGTGCTCATCACAAGAACTGTGTCATTCGGAGGGTGGAAATTGGCAGGCCCTTTCTTATAGGGGGAAAGCTTCCTGGGAGAGATGTCTTGCAATAAGTATTTAAGGAAAGATAAAATTTAGAGTGATGAAGAAGACATGATGATCATTTTGTATCAAAGGGTAGCAAAACTAGGTATGTTTGGGGCTGTTTCCCTTTGTAATCATGTCATTTTGCAGGGATTAAGGAAAGAGAAGGGCACTTCAGTTGTTTCCACATCTTAGCAATTGTGAATTGTGCTGCCATAAACATTCTAGTGCAGATGTCTTTTTAATAGAATGTCTTTTGTACCTAAACATTTGTATCCCTGTAATATTCTAAAATTAAAAAAAAATTAAATAAATGAAAAAAGAAAAGAGAAGGGAACTAAGGTTTTGAGAGTACTTCCTATATGCCAGGTCCAATGCCAGGTAAATTGTGGACCTTCTCTTTTTTAATCTTTGCAACAACCGTAAGACATAGGTTTTATTACTCCTATTTTGCAAATGAGAAAACTGAGAGTTACACAGATCAAATAATACACAATTAAGTGGCTAAGGCATAATTTAAATCCATGTCACTATGACTCCAAAGACTGAGATCTTTGCTCTTTTTTATTAAACTGAGCAAAGATATCTTGGCAAATAGAGATATAAGCTTATAATAACATGATCCCACTTGTCGGAGGACTTTGAGAATAGGTTGATGTATTTGCATTCAATTCTAAGATCAAATAGAAAGTATTTGCATTACTCATACCTGTAGTATATTAGAAGATTCCATGAGTAATAAGAAAGGGTATTAAAATGAAAAGTTAAAATTTTCTTTCTTCTTCTAGAGCCCATATTCTCTTTTTCAGGGTCACTCATTTCTTATGACCCCTTCCAGAAATTGTCTGTGCTTATTTGTGTGTGTGTGTGTGTGTGTGTGTGTGTGTGTATGTGTATGTATGCAATCTTTTGTTTTTTCTTCCATAAAACAGTAGCTGAACAAAGACTAGAACCCACATCTCTTAATACGTAGGCCAGTATTTTTTTCCTGATAAAAGATAAGTAAAATGGAACTACATGGAAGAGAGACTTAAATGATTATGTTTTTAGGCTGATATTACTGTTTTAGGCTGACAAGAGTATCACTGACATTGATCTTGAGCATGTAGGAGTAAAACACAATTTGATATAATTGAATTTTGTTTTAATTTTAGAATTGCTGGAGCTTACATTCCACTTTCCGCTCTGTCATTTTTCTTGTTTAAATACCTTTAGGTATCAACCTGGACAAAGCAATATCAAGCTGCAGCTCATCAGCACATCCCTGCCATGGAACAGCTATCTGAGTGGTTAATGAAAAACTTGCCAGATAATGACAATGAAGAGAATTTGATCCATGGAGATTTCAAACTAGATAACATAGTTTTCCACCCCAAAGAGGTACTGTAAGCCATGTTTACCATAAATTGGGTAGATCTGAATTGAGACACAAGTACAAAGTAGATGTTCCTCCCAGAACATTGAAGGAGGAACCAACTCATCTTCATTCTTTCCCTATAGCCCAGTACTGTCTTTACCACTCACAACTTGTAGAAATGAGTCCTGCAAATTTTCTAGCATAGGTAGCTGCCTACCTTTAAAGCTGGTTCTAATCCTAGGTGGTATCTGATCTACTGCTTACAAAGGACTTGGGAATTTTACTTGCATGTTGCTGTTTTCTTCAAAGAAATTTTTAATCTGCTACTTAAAATGTATAGCTTATCTATATCCTTGCTTTTTTTCTGGTTCATTTATAGCTCTTTGTTTTTTCTTGTCTTATGACATAAAGAATTTTTAATTTATTATAAGCTCAGAGAAGACAATTCCAAAAGCCTCTTTTGAGGCTTCAAAAGAATTACATTAGATTAATGTAACCTTGCTCTGTGCAAATGTACACAGTGTTCTCTTTTTTATAAAGAGTACAAACAAATAAAAGCTATAACCCTCCACAAAGCACAGACAGTGAGGCCTAGGATTAGAGTATAGTGGGAATGAGGAGACTACTTCAGTTTTCTCATTAACTGCATGCCTTTGAGCAAGCTACTTGGCACTTAGTATTTCTACATAAATGAGAAAGATTTCCAGTTCCCTGTATTCTGCTTCTTAGAAGAGGATTTTTCTAGGTTCATTAGATTTCTCAGAATGCTAAGATGTTTTAGGGCAAGAAGAGCTGCTCTCTATTTATGTGCTAAGCTTCTGGATTTAATGTTTTTTCCCTATAAGAAAAGGCCAGGGGGAAATACCATTATAAATTACAATGTTGTCATAATTCAAAGTAGTATAAATCAATTGAAAGTGCAAAAATAATATAAAGACATTTGAGCACATTTACCAGCAAGACAGCAAATTTGTCATGGAAAAGTCAATTTGGATATTAAAATGAAATATATGTAATTATACATGTGTGTGCATGTATGTGTAACCTTTTGTTAATGGCACTGATGAATTCTAATTTATAACTTTCTTAATTATATACCTTTAGATTAGAAAAATTAATGCTTATTTATAATCTAGAAAAATAATAAAAGCATGTACCTCAAAATGTAGCAGGATCTGGCCTATATTTGATCTATATCATTTGATTCATTAATATTTTAGGTGCCTACCTTTGAATAAATCAAATTTCTGTATAAGTTCTGTGACTATAGTACTTTTCTATTCTTAAGCAAATAAGGAAAAATCCAAACCTAGATTTCCTAATGGATTATATGTTGTTTACCAAGATGTTTAATTTATAGGATTAGCCATAATATGCTGAAAATAATGGTAAACTCCAGTAAGTACCAAACTATTTTCCAGTTTATATTAAATCTCATGTTTTAAAAGTATTTCTTATAGGATTAAAATTGTTAAACAGGTATCATTTTCCCTCAGATAAGCAGAATATTCAATAGCTTGGGAGAGACATTTTTAAAAAAAGAAAAGATAAAGGCACAGATTTTAGTTATTTGGCTGTGATAACTAATTTGTTAACATTTGTAATTATCTTTTAATGTTTTAGGGCCATATAGTCATTAGTAAAATGTTTTCTACTTTATACCCAATAATCTTATGGGTAAATCAAATTTAATCAATTTAGTTATAAGTATTATAACTAACTCTTCATGGAAAGTAACATGTGGTTGGCAGAATTCAAGTCAATTATCATTTATTCATTATAATTATGTACCCTGATACATGGGATTGGAAAGGAAATACAGCTCCTAATGAGCTCAAAATATAGATAAAGGGAAAAGATATCAGGTAACAGCAATGAAACACTATATCCACAGGTGCTGATGTATATCGTACAAAGTGAACTTCAAGAGCAGTGAAAGAAGGACCAATATCCACTGTGGACTGGCACTAAGAGCTACCAAACTTTAAAGTTTAATTTTAGTTAATAGTATATATTTTTCACCTCTTTTAAAAAAATTTTACAAGTAAATAGGAAATATGTGTGTGTGTTTCATAAGGTCACTCAATAAATTGCAAAGTCAGCCTCTGGGTTATAACAAGTTGAATATATATATTTATGTGCTTACCTATGTATATACCTAGGAGTATGCTTGAAAGCTTTTCTCTTTTTTTTGAGTTTAAAGAAAAAACTTTATTTCTTTATTTTTTCTTTGTCTCTAGAGTTTATATGTAGTAGATGCTCAATAAATGAGAACCTACTAGACTAGGAGCTCCTTTAAAGCAGTAACTGTATCTTATTCATCTTTTTTTTTTTTTTTTTTTGAGACAGAGACTCACTTTGTTGCCCAGGCTAGAGTGAGTGCCATGGTGTCAGCCTAGCTCACAGCAACCTCAAACTCCTGGGCTCAAGCAATCCTGTTGCCTCAGTCTCCCAAGTAGCTGGGACTACAAGCATGTGCCACCATGCCCGTCTATTTTTTCAATATATATTAGTTGGCAATTAATTTCTTTCTATTATAGTAGAGACGAGTCTCACTCTTGCTCAGGCTGTTTCTAACTCCTGACCTTGAGTGATCTGCCTGCGTTGGCCTCCCAGAGTGCTAGGATTACAGGCGTGAGCCACCATGCCCAGCCTTATTCATCTTTAATAACAGGTGTTTACATGATTCTCCATGAATCTATGTTGAAGGGATTGATTTTAGTTAATTATTCACTAAATAACTATTTTCATCTCAAACATTATGCTTAATTTTCATTCCCTAGCAGTGTGACCTTAAAGCAAATTACTTAACTGCCCTCTGTGCCTCAGTTTTTATTTTAACTTTTCTTTTTTTTTTTTTGAGACAGAGTCCCACTCTGTTGCCTGGGCTAGAGTACAGTGGTGCCATCATAGCTCACTGCAGCCTCCAACTCCTGGGCTCAAACAATCATCCTGCCTCAGCCTCCCAAGTAGCTGGGACTATAGGTGAGCACCACCATGCCAGCTAATTTTTTTAATTTTTGGTGGAAACAAGGGCTCATTATGTTGGCCAGGCTGGTCTCAACCTCCTGGGCTCAGGCGATCTTCTTACCTCAGCCTCACCTGGCCTAACTTTTTCTTTTGAAATAATTACGGACTCTGAAGAAATTGTAAATATAGTACAGTACAGAGAACCACTATGTATCCGTCATCCAGATTCCCCAAAATGGATCTTACACAACTGTAGTATATTATCAAAGTCAGGACATTGACATTGTATGCCTTTTGAATTGAAAAAAATCCCAAAATTTCAGAGTTGCTGGACAAATGAAGTAGTCAATATGGAGCAAATAGCTGGTACTTGGCACACAGCTCAACTTATTTTAATTATCCACTCTTTTCCATTCTTTTCCCCTCTGTTTTTCTGTTCTACTTTTCTAAGATTGCCTATCAAACTCTATTCTTCAGAAAATATATTAAGGTATAAGTAAATCTTTCATAATATGTACTAAAACTTAAACAGTGGTTATACGGAATAGAATTATAGGAGACTTATAACTGTACATTCTGTAATGTGTAAGGTTTGAGGATTTGGGGGTTTTGTTTTTTAAAACAACAACATGTTTTTATCATCAGAAAACACAACAATTAAGAAAGAAACAAAAACAATTTTAAATGACAAACCTTCCAGGAATATGTGGAGTAAGCCAGTAAAGCATTACTAAAAGTGGTATGGCAAGACAACAAAAGCAATCCCCATTTAATTCCAGTTACTTACTTGAAAAGTATCTGAAGCATGTTTGAGCAAGTATTTCAGTAGTATAACATGCTCACTGCAATGTTTAAAAGAAACCCAGTTTTCATGGAAAAATGCTGATTTTTCAAATATAAATCTTACTGATAGAGAAATGTTTTAAGATTTTGGAGTTTAGTGGAAACATTTGTGTATTTTTGTCATTACAAATTAAAAAACAAATACATTTAATTAGAAACATCCACTGGGATGGATCCACTTCAGTGATCCAGAAATTGATTTTTGTTTTTCATGATACCTCCCCTGTGATGCTGCAGATTTGGTGGTTCTAACTTTAGAATCCATAAGCCCTTATGACTTCATTTGACTTTTTATCCTGCACGGCCATATGGTCATGATCTGTCATTTCAAGAACTACCCTCTTTAGTATCAATTTAATTAACAATTTTTTTTACTGTGGATATGTACAAGTAATATAAGAAAGTTCCCTGACCTTAGGTTACTTATTATTCCATAATCTTCTCACTCCTTGACTTTACACAATTTCCAGCCCAAAACTTGCTGCATATTTTTGCTGCAGAATAATGTCATGATATCAGGTGAACTGGGTCTGGGACATATTTACGTTTCACAATTTCATCTAGACCGTGACTTCCTCTCTTAGTAAAACCTGTGACTATTTTTTTTTTAATGGCTTTTTCAAATCTTTTCCATTCTTCTCAAACTCTCAAGTTTCTTGTCCCATCTAGACTTCCACTCTCAGCATATGGTCTTGTCTTCTGCTTGACTCATTTTTGTCCTTTTAGTCACTTTCCTGTACAGGCTACTTTCTAGAGATCACATGGTCCTTGAAGTTCTCTTGATATTGTCAAGGACATTTCATCCCTCAATACAATATCCCCTTCATGCAGATTAATGGGTGATATTTTTCTTCAGCCTTATTGTCAAGAAAAGTTGTCGCTTCTAAGCAGCTGGTTTGTTTTTAATCTACATACACTATAAAGACTGTGATTAATCATGCTTCACACTTTATTTTGTCTGCTAGAACACTCGGAGCAAATTTTACTACCCACACTAACAATATAGGACCTATGACATTCGATTTTATGTAATAATGTTATTCTTAGCTGCTTCTTTTTATTAAAAATTCTTTTTTCCCTGCCTACTTTATCTGCTGTTTGTCTTGTTGGGTTACATGTGTTTCTTTTGTTTTGAATGATAATACACATAAATAGAATTCAGTAGTGTAAAAAGCATACATCGAAAAATAAATCTCTCTCTATAGAAGATAACAAAACTAAAAGCTTTCAATTGTGCTGAAGTTTCAGAAAAATGGCTAAAAATCATTGTATAAATTCTTTAGCTGAGCATGGTAGCTGAAACCTGTAATCCTAGCACTTTGGGAGGCTGTGGGAGGAGGATTGCTTGAGGCCAGGAGTTCGAGACCAGCCCGAGCAACATACTGAGACCCCATCTCTATAAAAAATAGAAAAATTAGCTGGGTATGGTTGCATGTGCCTGTAGTCCCAGCTACTCAGGAGGCTGAGGGGGCAGGATCACCCGAGCAAATTTGAGGTTGCAATGAGCTATGATGAGGCCACTGCACTTTAGCCTGGGTAACAGACCATGACCCTGTCTCCAAAAAAAAAAAAAAGGTCTTTAGCAGTAGCAAGGTGAACTGGTAAATGTTTATCTCAACCACACTAGGAGTTATATTGAGTTTTTTATAGCTCTGAACACAAACAGTTGTAAACAGAATTCTAATAAACTATTACTAATTAACTTATTCTAATTGATAGAGTTTGATGAGCCATCAACTTTTCTCACTGGCCATTGTTATATAGCTTTATGTAATTACCCCAAAAATGTTTCAGATATCTTGAAACAACTCCAGAGAAGTTTCCCAACTTTCATGAAAGAAACAATAATAAACATTTCTAGCATCAGGAAGGGTCTCATCTTCTTTTCTTAGGATGTTGAAAGCATAGATGACAAATAGAATGGTATGAGAAAAATTTATCTTTTTTATATAGTTTAACAAATCTACCTCGTATGATAATTTATAATATAATATAACTGCAACAATAAAAGGGCTTACAAAGTCAAGTCATAGAGAAGGGAGTGATCAGTTTTTCCCACACTAATAGCAAATTTTTGATTATCTACTATATGCCAGGCTTTGTACATATTCATCAAATTGATATATATTGGCCACCTACTATGTGCTAAATATTCTGCTGGTAAACAAAACATACATGCTACCTGTCCTCATTTAGTCTTGACAGTAACCTCTGTAAGAGGTATATTTTATAGCTGAGAAAATTGAAGATCAGAGAAGTTAATTAACGTGTTCAGAGTTACACAGCCAGTAAATAGTAGAGCTAAGATTTTAATATTTCTCTTTCTGATTCGAAATTCCACATTTACCCACAAAGCTACAGTAACATGTATTAATATAAATTTGCCAGAGAAGCAAGGGAGTACAAGCACACACAAAGTTATATGAAGGCATGAAACCCAGTAACTCCCATCACCCAAATGGGCTTTGCTGCTTTATCTGGCTTGAGTAACTTGCTGAGATTATTGCTGCAGCCTTCTAACCGACTCCCCTGAAAGCTACACAAAACATAGCAGCTAGAGTGACTCTCTTAAAATATAGTTCATATCATGTCATTCCTGTATACAGAACCCTCCAATGGAGGTTCCCCTCCCTGCACCTCATCCCTCCTACCTAAATCCCTTGAAATGAACCTCAGCCATTGCTATCAGTTTGGTACCTATCATTTCAACTTTGAATATTCATCTATAACCTTTTTCTTTAAACAAAAATAGGATCATACTATACATATTATTCTGCAAATTGCTTTTTTCCCTTGTGTTTATAGTTTAAATGCCCTGTGTTCTTAACATAAAGAGATATATTCCCTTGATACATGTTGTTACAAAGTAGTAATAGAATGAGGAAAGCTCTCTGTTTTATTGGTTTCAAATTACATAATATTGTTTTATCATGTTGCTGTATGATGTTGGATTTTGTATTTGTACAGCAAACAATATAATAATTAGGATTTTTATCTACAACATGAAATAACTTACTTTAAAAAGTACTATTGATGAAAGAGTATAATATTTGTTATGTAGTTAGATTTTTCACTAAAGCAAATGCTTAATTATACACGGCATAGCATGTATTATTGAAATGTAAGTAATTAGTATAAGAATTTCTTCTTTACCACAGTTACTCCCAGTTGAGAAGTTTTAATTGTTTTTGCCTCTGCTGATTAGCAGAGATATTAGGCTGTGTAAAGTAAAAAGCAGGATTGATGGCCAGTGATGGAAACAGAGGACTTGACCCTGAAATATGCCACTGTGGGTAAAGATCAAACTACGGCCTGAGATTGACTTTTGATGGGAAGCTTGATTTTGAATGTATTTTAGTTAATTTATTTCTTTATTATAGGTATTTTGAATTTTATTATGTTAAAGCTCTCTTTATATTTTTAATTATAGACTCGAGTTATAGCCGTACTGGATTGGGAGCTTTCAACTATTGGGCATCCTTTGTCAGACCTAGCTCATCTTTCCCTGTTCTACTTTTGGCCAAGGACAATTCCAATGATAAATAAACGTTTCTCTATTCAAGAAAACACAGGTACAAAAACATAAAGTCTAAATGTTATAAATATAAAATTTCCTTTATTATCTTCATAATTAAAAATATATAATGATCTTGAAATTTTATATAATAGTTTTTATTTGTTTCTTAAAAACATTTCTAGTTCATTTTATTTTTTATTAATTTTTCTGAAGTTAGCATTCTACTTTTAGTAACTTATGACAAAATGTCAAAATGTAATCCTTTGTATATAATGTTCTTTTGGGAATCAAGATTTAGATCATGTTTTGTTGCATGGATTAATGGTTATTACATTCTGTTTTACATATATATGCTACATTGTGACATTTTGAAATATTCACTATAATATATTAATATATCAGCACATCTGATGATATTATGTGCTGTTTTTATAGGGATACCATCGATGGAAGAACTGATTTCAATATATTGCCGCCATAGAGGAATTAATTCTGTTCTTCCTAACTGGAATTTCTTTCTTGCCCTTTCATATTTTAAATTTGCTGGAATAGCACAGGTAACTGTTTTAAATGTGTGTTTAACCATTATTTACTAATGTACTCTTGGTAATATTTTCTGGTCTTTAGCATTTTTACATTCATTATTCTTAGTTTATTTTGCTTTTCATAATGACAAATATTGGACATGGATAAAATATAAATTCAGATTTTCCAGAATAAGAATTTGACAAAGAAAAATTTAACTAGCAAAATGTGTTATCACTTTTTTGTATAATAAACTTACAAGAGGGAGAGAAAAAGATATAATGACAAAAAAAGAGAAGCATGTGAGGATTGATCATTTTCTGAATATCCAATATAAGAAAAGGCTAAGTAAAGTCTTTTGATGATTGCTATTTCAGACTATAAAACCATTTATTAACCAGGATTGATGATAAGGGAAGAATGATCTTTGTACTTCCCAGAGGCTAGCATAGTACCTATTGTAATGTAGTGTCTTAATGTTTTTGAGTAGGTAGATGAATAATTTTTTTCATTTTCTAATAGTCATATTTATGTGATTAATTTTGAGGAAATTGAGCATAAATTTAGTGCTTTTCTAATTACATTTTAATCTAAACAAATGTCATTGTCTTTATACTAATCTTGGGGACTTAAGAAATTGAGGTGCTTTATCAGTAGCAAGGGGTTTAGGGAAAGAACAGGTAAATAAGAGATTTGAGATACAAAAAAAGAATGGAAAGAAGTATTGAGGGAAATTATGGTCATATTTCTCTGTCCTCAGAGTTCATACTATCCATGAAAAACTGAAATATCTTCTAGGCAATATTTGTGTTACATCTCATCCTATATTCTCTAAGAGTTGATCATGCTCAATAAAATGGGTTTCACAAAATGGGTACATCTGCGTATCTGTCAGTTACTGCAAATCAGATACCAAATAGGCTTTAAACTTAATATTGCTTTTCATTTCAAATAAAAGTTTGACTTGGGTTATGCTTGAAATTAAAATGTACATTATAAACTATATGTACATAGTATTGTACATGTAGTCCTTAAAGATGACCATAAATATTCCACTCGAACTGGAAATACAAAATTGGAAATTTTACAGTGTTTTATTGCATAAAGTATTGTATAAAGAAGATACAGTAATGGAATTCAGTTTTTGTGTTTGGAGGAGAGGAGAGAGTTGGAAGTACAGAAATTGAGAATTATAAAAGAAACACTGATTAGTACCCAACTAACACTGTTAAAAAGAGATAGTTTTACCTAAAGTAAGGGCCAAAAATAGTAGGTAAAATGTTCTTAGAGGTCATCTCATTGTCTTCTATTTGGTTTTATAGTTTTTGATGTTATTTGGTTTCTTTAGATTTTTCTCCCAGTATGAAGAGAGGGCAGTGATCTTTAGAAATTATTTAACTTACAGATTTGGTATCTTTGGCAACTGCTGAGACCATTTTTAAGTTTGGTTTGATTATAAATTACAATTCTGCTAGGATGAAAGTGTGTTAACTATATGATATGAGTATGACTCCTTAGTTTTGAGGAGCATAATTACTCCTGTATGTAAATTAATACCATTGGTAGTATGATTTACATCTTCATACTCTTTGAGTTTAGTGTCGTACATAACTGAGAAACTGTGAGAAGATTGATTGAATAGTTAAAGGACAGTTTTCAATGAATTTTAATTGTTTTATGTTAATTTTCTTATAGGGAGTATATAGTAGATATCTTCTGGGAAATAATTCATCTGAGAATAGCTTTCTATTTGCCAATATGGTGCAACCTCTGGCAGAAACTGGATTACAACTCTCAAAAAGGTGAGGAAAACATTCCTTGGCTAACTCAAATGAGAATCTTTATTAGGTATGTGAGGGTTGTAAACTTGGGAGGAGTAGGAATTATTTTTATTGCTTACACCAGGACTGCTGCTGCCAATCACAGTAGTTTTTTGGTAAATCTCTTCCATGCCTAAAAATGAATTGACCTGTGAATACATGTGAAGAAAATCCTCATGTTTGTGATTAAAAGTATTTTTTGTCTCTTGGATGTGCAAATTTTTAAGATATAGATAAAACTCTCAAATTTTTCCTTCTAATATTTAAGTTACATATACCTACTTAAAATTTTGTACTATATAAGATGATTTATTACTTTAGAAATATTATTCTCTTCCACTGCCACATGTCATGAAATTTTGTTTAGACATTTTATAAGCATCTTTGAAATCCATGTCTACATCATTGGAGCACTTTTTGAGGCATCTAACACATTTTGCCGGAATCACATTTCCATTACTTGCTGAATGCCTGTGTGATGCTGCCCCCAGAAATTCTGCTTGAGCCATGAGAACCCTTGGCATAATGCTAGGACAGTTGTTTTGTACGATGCATCTTACGGCTGGATGTCTGTTTATCTCTACTACCTTAACAACAAACTCTTATGCTTCATAATGACCTCTAAAGGTCTTCTTTACAATGACATATCAGCAGTTGTATTTGTGCGGCATATACTAAGAAAATGATTACATTTGCGTTCAGTTTCTTTGCTTCCTCTTTTAGAAATTCTGACAGATGACATCAATAAGGATTCAAAAATAGCATTGCTTGAGGTGATGCCAGGTTTATATGTTTTTCCCAAATAGTGCTTTTAACATTAAAGTTTAATGTTCAAAATAAAGTGATTCTGTATTCAGGCCATAATATGAAAGATTTGAAAAAAAATCCAAAATATGGCAACTCCTCCTGAGGGATATTTTTGGGGAACTGGGGAGACTTCACATCAGATTCAGAAATATGTAATAATGACTTGGGACATCTCTGTAAGCTTTTTTCCTCTTTTTTTTTGTAAAGAACTTTCAATACTGCATTACCACAGACTGATACTACCAGACAATTATTTGTACAGACAAGGAGAGGCCAGGAAGTTCTTGCTAAGGTGAAGCAGTTCATGAAACAACACATCCTTCCAGCTGAAAAGGTAAGTATTGTATAAACAATGGAATGTATTTGTGCTAAATCACAACTGACAACTACTTCTGTTATTTCTGCTTATAGGAGAACCATGGCGTCATTTTCTTTACAGTCAATCCTTACCCCAATTCTTCTCTTTACCTTAGCACTGAGCCACTATAGAACCTGAACCTGAAAAAAATCCAAGTTACAAAAATGTGCCAAGGGAATGCATAGATAATTCTGTGGAATTAAAATAAGGCCAAAGGGAATTAACAGTTTGTAAAGTTTGGAACCTAAATATGTTAGAGTAAAACACTACTTTGGGGGCCTTTTCCTAAGGCAGTGACCCTCAGCTTAAAAATATATACACACATACACACACACACACACACACACACACACACATTCCCCTTTGAGAATTTAATAGGAACTATAGACTACACAGGATGGATGTACCCAGACAATTTTACATACCGTTTCAAGCTGCTCACAAGTACTATCACCCCTCTCCCTTATAAGCTACTATGTTAAGGTATTAAGTTTCAGTTGGTTCACTGAGTCAACATGGAACATTCATTCATCCAGTTAAGAAATAATTATTGGGTACCTGGTAATGGGTTAGGCACCTGGGAGCCATTGAATGTAAGAGAAAGCAAAAGACAGACAGGGCTTATATTTCTGTGGAGCTTAGACTTTAGCAAGATATTAAGTAAGAGATGATAAATGCAGTGAAGAAAACATAACTCTTATGCAAATATGTTGAGGGAGGTTGGGGCAGGATATGTGTGTGGGTAGAACACTGCTATAGAAATGCTAAGGGCTTTTTTTTCCTTTTTTAAATTTTTAAAAAATTTTTTATTTGATTGATTGAGACAGAGTCTCACTATGTTGCCCTGAGTAGAGTGCCGTGGCATCAGCCTAGCTCACAGCAACCTCAAACTCCTGGGCTCAAGCGATCCTCATGCCTCAGCCTCCCGAGTAGCTGGGACTACAGGCCACACCATGATACACAGCTAATTTTTCTAATTTTAGAAATAGGGTCTAAAGAGAGATAGAGTCTAAATAGAGATAGGGTCTCCCTCTTCCTCGGGCTGGTCTCTGTCTCTTGAGCTCCACCTCCGCCTCCCAGAGTGCTAGGATTACAGGGGTGAGCCACTGTGCCTGGCCTGCTAAGGGCTTTATTCTAATTCATCCCTGCTACAAGTTATGTGGTCTTGTGTTAGGTGGTCTTGTGTAGTAGCCTCGTTTTTTTCATCTACAATGTGAGTAGGTATAACTAGTTATACAATAAATTCCTATTTTAATTGTCTATGATTCTGAGAGGTCTACAGTTAGACTGGCAGAATCAAATAGAGAACTGAAAAAGACCAAAATTCTTTCAACAGAAATGTTCAGAGTTGATATGTGTTTGTAGGGCATTTAGAGTTATTTCTTTTTTTTTTTTTTTAATAAATGACTTTATTTACATTTTATCTGTACTTGTAAGTAGCACTAAACTTACAATTTCATAACCATTTGTGCTTATTCAGGCCATTTAGTAAGAAATGTCTAGAAAATACACTTTATGATTCAGCTGCAGTGATTACTAAGGCAATTGGCTTCTGAATCTTTAGAAAGTTCTATATTTGAGCCCAAATGGCATCCTGAAATAAAGTGTGCCATTTATTGCTGGGTATTTTAAGATCCTCAATCACTACTATTTTTTGAAGAACTTCTTTATTCCTTAGTAAACTCAAAAAGAATATTTCAACTCCACCACATCAAATTTTACTAGTGCCAATATCACCATTATATTGTGTGGGGTTCTAGTATGTGTTTGAAACCCTGTTAAATATTGTACCTACAAATTTGTTTTAATTCTCAAAATTACCTAGATGAAGCTTGGAGATTTTAAGCAATTTGCCAAATTTCTCATGATTAATAAGGGACCAATCCAGAATTTTACTGGGACCTGACTCCAGAGGCAACTTTCTTCACCTCTACACCTTAACAGCAGTAGCTTGCAAAAATCACTTTCCATCTTCATAAGAGACTCCAATTTTACCATGCTTATTTTCCAGAGTTCGTGCTCTACTTTTCATGATTCTTATATAAAGCACGTTTCAGGGTTTAGATATGAACTCTCCTCTTGCCCTGATTGTCGTCTATGCATGTTAGTTACAAAGGGCGGTGCTGCAGATACTCTTCTTTGTCTATTATTCATGCTTTTGATGCAAATAGCTTGTCAATTGTCTACCCCTATCCATCCATTTGCGCACAGGGGTACATTTACAATAATTAAAGTAATGATGCATAGTAATTTTAAAAGTTTTCCTCTGCTTTTTTTTTATTTCGGGAATTATGGGTACAGGTTTAGGTTATATCGCCCTTTCTCCCCCACAAGTCTGAGTTTCTTGCATCCCAGGATGGTGGCAATCTCATTTATGTGTGGTATATACCTGCCCCCTGCACCTGCCATACTATTATGTAGTCTACGGTGTCCATTAGGTGCTATTCGTTATACAGTTTGTGGGAGTTGAGTTTTTCTTGGATTATATGTACATTATTTTTTAGTTAAATTATCGTGGCTTGAGTTACTTTACTACGGAGTGCGTTAGTTTTAATTACTAGCTTAACTGAGGAAATTCTTTCTAAAATAGTCATCTCTCATATGTGTCCAGCAATTAAGGTATCACTTTGAATATTTTTTGTTGTGTATTGTCGATTCTGAGTTTTAATCTGAACTTTTGAGTATAAAAGGGGATGGGCGGGCGCTGTGGCTCACGCCTGTACCTGTTTTTGGAGGCGAGGATTGTCAAGGTCAGGAGTTCAAACCGCCTGGGCCAGAGCGAGACCCGTCTATATAACGAAAATTAATTGGCAGACTGATATTAATAAAAAATTAGCGGGCATAGTGGCGCATGCTGTAGTCCAGCTACTCGGCGACGCGCTGAGCGAGATCCTCGGGCGGAGTTGGAGGTTGCTGTTGGCTAGGTGGACGCCACAGGCACTACTTGCTGACACAAGTGATATCGGTCCTCAAATAAAAAAAAAAAAAAAATGAAAAAGGTGTAATTTAGGTTCAAGGATGAAGCATTGAATCAAATTCCTATCTTCTATATTTTCTGATTGATTAACAGTTAAAGAGTTTTTATAAACATGGAAGGTAAATGTTAAAGCATGGAAACAAGGGAGAGAGGGAACACATCAGAGGACTAAAGGTTTTTAAAAGAGAGTGGAAATTAGATTTAGAGAGCAGAATGAATCAGACCTAAAAATAAACTATTACAGAAAAGCCACATCCGCAAGGAATTTTGCAGTAAGAGAAGCCTGTAGCACAGGGTACTATCTTCCCACAATGGAGTTCCTGGTGATCGTGATTATGAAACAAAAAAAACTGAATGAGAAGGGAAGAATCAAGATGTATTGGACTTATGAATTACCTGCACATGGGCTGCATGAGTTGGGCTCTTTCAGCCCTGCATAGATAATAGCAGATGGGTGTTTCCCCATGACAGAAGACTACAACAATCCTCTAAAAAAGTACATGATCCTTTTCAGAGAAGCCAGGGCTTCAACATGAGGGTTAGTGCCCTAGAATAGTGTCCTCCATGTTTTGGCTTTTTTTCTTTTTAGTGCATGATTGGGTGGAGATCCCAACTTATCTATCAGCCTGCCTGATTACTGCTTGACTCCTAAAATGAAGTGTTATCTGTTGGTGTGCTAGTGCTTACAACTAACCCATCATTCGAGGAGAGGCTAGAATTGGCAAAGCCTGGAAATCAGGCAGGCCTGTTCTTTCCTTCATAAATGTGAATAGGCTTTCAAAGGAAACTGCAGCACAGAAGAGAAATGTCACAGGTTGGGCTGTGATACACTGCTGAACTTAGTGTCATGCAACTATTAAAATAATTGCAAACAATTTACAATAAAAGAAAGTGATTTATTTATGATAAGTAAAAAACAAGTAGCCTATAGCTTTAAAAGGAAGATTGTCAGTGTTTTGTGTGGTAAGGTAAGGCACAGTCATTTGTCTTTGTAGATCTTTCAAATCTGGAACATATCCACATCTAATAATGTGAGCTTTTTCTTCTTTTAAAAATTTGTTCTGTAGCAACACCCATAAAAACGTTTTTTCTTGTAGAATGATTCTGAGCATACTAGTCTCTGTGGAACATATACATTTGGAATGATATTTCAAGAAAAGTAAATAGCTTTGTCAAAATAGAATAGAGAAAACCTACTAAAATTCTATCCAGTATTATAACTAAGTTTACAAAAACCAAAATAGTCATGTCTGAAACATACAGTATGTGTCTTTAGCTACTGGGACTTGATGACTTTTTCTGTATACTTTTATATGTTTCAAATTTTCTATAATGAGAAAAATAAGCTTCATTTAAACTATTCTAATGACCTTTTGAAACTTCTTGAATATCATAAACTGAGAACATAACCAATTATCTATGAAAATATTAGAGCCAATACTTCCTATTTAAAGTGGATAAGGAATCCTAAAAATAGCCTGTAAAACAGGAACTAGCAACAATAACATATTGAGAACACACTTTTAACATAATGATAACATTAATCATACTTTGCTATCGAGTCTAATAGTGTATTAGGAAGGCACTGTTGCTTCTTTCTATTAGACTTAAGTTTAAAGTGAAAAATATATATTGTCCAGACTTAAGATTCTGAACCAACCAATGTTTTCCAAATTAGTATCTCAGTCAGTGAATGGAGAAGTAGTATGTTAAAGGTGATATTTTGGGAGATTGACCAGATACCAGTCATATTTTCTGCTTTTGTCTTTTACCAATAAATCACTTTTCTTTCTTAGATATAATAACTAAAGAAAGGATTTTTTGTAGTGAGGTATTTTATTTAATTCTGAGTCCTACCATACCACAGATAAACTTTGCAAATATCTCTAACTGGATAAACTATAGAACATGAAGTATTAAATAAATACAAGTTATAAAATAATTATATAAACCCTGGCATAATTTAATTTCTCCAAATTATAGTATCATAAAGATGTCGTCAGAGGTGAGGAAATGGTAAATGTATTGTGTAATATATTATTAAACACAGTAGCATTGACTTTTTCCATGGCAACATGAGGAATGGAAATAATAAACAACCCCAAACAGGAAATCTTACAATTTAACTGACTTCCTGACAGAAATGACAAGAGCTCTTCATCCTGGTGCTTTTGAAAGAGCAGAGCTTTACTGTCTTAAAGTTTTCACTAAATACAGAAGTACTCTAGACTGGCCACATTTCAGTGGAAGGAAAATTATTATTATTTTTTTTTTTTGAGACAAAGTCTCACTCTGTTGCCCCCGCTAGAGTGCCATGGTGTTAGCCTAGCTCACAGCAACCTCAAACTCCTGGGCTCAAGCAATCCTTCTTCCTCAGCCTCCTGAGTAGCTGGGACTACAGGCATGTACCGCCTTGCCTGGCTAATTTTTTCTATATATTCTTAGTTGGCCCATTAATTTCTATTTTTAGTAGAGACGGGGTCTTGCTCTTGCTCAGGCTGATTTTGAACTCCTGATCTTGAGCGATCTGCTCGCCTTGGCCCCCAGAGTGCTAGGATTACAGGTGTGAGCTACCGCACTAAGCCAGAAAGAACATTTTAATACATTGCTTATATCAGTGTAAATTGGTGGAACAGTTTTAGAAAATAATTTCATAATGTGGATAGAGTTTTGACAATGTTCCTATCCTTTGATCCAGTAATTCTACTATCCTAAGTGCAGAAAAATAACAGATGCAGAGATACTATAATAGCAAAATATTGGAGAATGCCATTTTAGTCCAATATTTTCATTCTATCTTGATTCTTTTAGTTGTACAAATTTGTGATTATTATTGTTTTATCTGTCTAGTTATTAAATTTAGATTTACTCATGTAGTTATCATTTTATTTATTTACTATTCCTTCTTGCAACTCAGATGTTTCTTCTAGGATCAAGTTCCTTTAGTGAGAATCTGCTAATAAATTTTACTTTTTTTCTTTCTCTGTATTTTTTTCTTTCCCTGTTTTTCTTTTTCTTTTATTTTCCTTTTATTTTTGGAGGGAGCAATGATTTTATTTATTTATTGCTAATAACTATATTTTGTCCTGATTCTTGAAAGATAGTTTTATTGGATATAGAATTCTAGGTTGACAATTACTTTCTATCATCAATTGAAGATCTTACTCCAGTGATTTCTGGCTTCATTTGTTGCTATGGGAAGTCAGCTACCAATCTTAATTGTTGCTTAATTATCAGTAATCTTTCTTTTTGCCCCTCTTCTTTCTCCTTTTAAGAGATTTTCTTTCTCTTTGTTCTTCAGTTTTACTGTGCTTTGGCTTCATTGTGCTTTCTGAACATGAAGATTGATGTCTTATATCAATTTGAAAACTCCTTATAATAATTTTTTTCAAACATTGCTTCTCTCCTCATTCTTTCTTCTAGGGCTCCAGTTAGACTTATAACTTCTCTCAGAATTCATCATATCCCTTAACCACTCATATTTCTCTTCTCTTGAATTCTGTGATTCATCTTAATTAATTTCTTCAGATCTATCTTCCAATTTAACAATTTTTTTAACTATATCTAATCTACTTTTCAATCATCCACTTCAGTGGTTCCAAAGTTTTAGAGTGTGTTAGAATTGCGTAGAGAACAAGTAAAGAACACATAAGCCCAGATTCATTGAAGTAGGATACAGCGTAGGCCCCTGCATTTTTACCTAGTTCTACAAGTGGGTCCCTTAGCCACCAAAAATTGAGACCCACTGCCAAAGAATTTTTAAGTTTCATTACTATGGTTTTCATTTCAAGTTGTGTTCAACTCTTTTTCAAATTTGCCTGGTCATTTTTGGTAGTTCTTTGTCATACTTTTAACTTCTTCCTTTATTCTTGAAATCTATTGACCACAAATACTTTATATTCTGTGTCTGACCATTATAGTCTTTGGGAAGTATGATATTGTTTTGTTGAATTATTGTTTTTGCTAATTCTTATTAATGGTAGCTTGTTTCCTTGAGTGATAAGTAATTTTTCATTCTGAACTTATGTTCTTTGGAATGGAGTGTTATTACTGGGGGTTATTTAAGGCTTTTTTTAAAGCTCTTTCCTCCACAGAGAATTTGCTTTTGTTTCTGCCAGGTACTTGCAGGCATTATTGCCAGGAACACTGTAAACTTAACTTTGGCTTGAGCTTTTAGGGCCCCACAAATCTGTGAATTCAGTCCCAAATTTGGGTGAAGGCAGGCTTCAGGTTAGAAATGTTTCTTTTTCTATTCCACCCAGAAATAAGACCTATATATAGGCCTATATTCCCATGGTTCACCCCCATTTTTTTTCCCTTAGGTTTTACCCATTAAACATCCTGGCTTTGATGGAGGGAAGAGGTGAGCTCTGATCCTTCCACTTGTTGTATTTGGGGCACTTGACTATATCTCCTGATCCCTACCACTGTGGCCTGTTAAAACCTAGGGTCTAGGCCAACATAGATTAGCTTACATCCTCTGGACAAACATGGCTCTAGTGTTTGCTCACAACTGAAAAGCCAGACTTTTTTTTTATTCCTGGCCTCTGAGGAATTTGCTTATTTTCCTCCCAGAACAGTTATGCATTAATAAATATATTTTTAAATTATTTTTAATATTTTACCTAGTATTTTTAGTTGAGGGGTTTCTGTGACCATCTAATGTACCATATGGCTCAAAATGGAATGCTAAAATCTTGGTATTAAATTTTGGAAGTCTATAAATCTATAAATATTGTAATTCATCATATAAATAAAAGCAAGAACAAAGACCATATGATCCTCTCAATAGATGCAGAAAAAGCATTTGACAAAATTCAGCACACTTTTATGATAAAAACTCTTAACAAAATAGGCATAGATGGGTCATACCTCAAAATTATGAAAGCCATATACAATAAACTCACAGCCCACATCATACTGAAAGGGGAAAACTTGAAAGCATTCCTGCTTAGAACTGGAACCAGACAAAGTTGCCCACTATCTCCACTTCTATTCAACATATGTTGGAATTCTTTGCCAGAACAGTCAGAAAAGAGTGGGAAATCAAGGGTATTCAAATGGGGGCAGAAGAGGTCAAACTTTCACTCTTTGCTGATGATAGGATAGTATATCTAGAAAACCCCAAAGATTTGGTTGTAGAAACAACCAAGGTGCCCATCAGTACATGAGTGGATTAATAAATGTGGTAAATGTATACCATGGAGTTCTACTCAGCCATAAAAAATGAATTACTACCTTTTGTAACAATCTGGATGGAACTGGAGACCATTCTACTAAATGAAGTATCGCAAGAATGGAAAAACAAGCACCATGTGTACTTGCCATCAAATTGGTACTAACTGATCAACACTGAAGTGCTAACATGGAAGTAATATTCATCGGGTGCCAAGCAGGTGGGAGGGGATGGAGGAGATGGGTAAATTCATAACTAATACATGTGGAGTGCACTGTCTGAGGGATGGACACACTTATAGCTCTGGCTTGGGTGATGCAAAGGCAATATATGTAACCAAAATGTTTGTACCCCCATAATATGAAATTTAAAAAAAGAAAATAAATAAAGTACAAACAAAAAAAATACATTTTGGAATTCTACCAGTTAATGCTGAGGCAGCATAATTTTGCTATCAGTAAGCCTTTAGAAGTTTTGCTTCTGTGTCTGATTTTAAAAAGATACATTACTGATTTAATCACAGCCGAAAAAGCTTCTTCACCTAAAAATGTTTACTTTGTATATTAGCAGTTTATGACACTGTTTACTTTGTATTAACTTTAGCTGACAAAAATTTCTTTTCTTACTTTAAGGAGGTAATTGAGTTCTATGTTCAAAATGAAAATTCAGGGGACAAGTGGAGAAAACCTTTAGTGATAGATAAACTCAAGGTAAGAAAAATAAGAAAATCTTTAACATTGGAAAATTTATATGCAAGTGTTTTTTGAGACCTTAGGTCTTAGTTTTGTTGTTGTTATTGTTATATATAGGGAGGATAATTATATCAGTAATATCTTTTTGATAAGAAAGTTAAAAAATAGAATCTAAAATATACAAATTAGGCTACATGGTGTTCTATATATCATATGTGATGAAGACAGACTCTTATAGCTATTCCGAGAAAAAAATATGATCAAAACTACTTATTACTAGCCATGACTGGATTGAGACTGAAGTCAGGGAAGGGTTAATCCAAATTTCATGTTTTCAAATCTTAACAGCAGTGCGTGTAAGAAATTGAAATGCATGGAATAGTATATTTGGCAGAATTATACTCAGTTGTGTGGGATTCTGATTTGATAAGAAATTCTCAAGTAAGAAATTTAATTTTTAAGCCAAATCCAAGGAAGCTTGGAGGAAAAGGCTTTTCTTCAACAGCTAAGAAATTTGATTTGTAATAAGTTAGTAACCACTTAAGTTTTGTACACTGTAGGATACAGTGAAATAAATAACTTTATAAGTGTTTTTGAATTTCAAAATATCATAAATGCCAATATTTTTTAAAATAAGCTACTTTAGGTCATGGTAAATTATGATCACTCTGGCATGTTCATCATCTTGACAGGAAATGGCCAAAGCAGAGGGCCTCTGGAACTTGTTTTTGCCAGCTGTAAGCGGTATCAGCCAGGTGGACTATGCCTTGATTGCTGAAGAAACAGGAAGATGCTTTTTTGCTCCAGATGTCTTTAACTGCCAAGCACCAGGTTACTACATTAATTGAGAACAGAATTTTCTCCAATATTTTGAGCAGTGTTTAAAATTTCTCTATATGACAAGAAACGTTTTTACAATCATTAATTTATAAATATGGCTATAATTTTACTTTTCAGCTACTTTGATTTAAACATAAAAAGTAGATTTGAAATTCTCATTGAACTATTGTTTTGTTAAACATCATTACATTAAGAATATTGGTGAATAGGCTGGGCGCAGTGACTCAGGCCTGTTAATCCTAGTACTCTGGGAGGCTGAGGTGGGAGGATTCCTCAAGGTCAGGAGTTCAAAACCAACCTGAGCAAGAGCGAGATCCCGTCTCTACTAAAAAAACAGAAAGAAATTAATTGGCAAACTAAAAATATATATAGAAAAAAATTAGCCGGGCATGGTGGTGCATGCCTGTAGTCCCAGCTACTCAGGAAGCTGAGGAAGGAGGATCGCTTGAGCCCCAGGAGTTTGAGGTTGCTGTGAGCTAGGCTGACACCACGTCACTCTAGCCTGGGCAACAGAGTGAGACTCTGTCTCAAAAAAAAAAAAAAAAAAAAAGAAAGAAAAAAGTATATTGGTGAATAGAAGTAGCCATGAAAGGGGTTGGTAATGTAATGTAAGGATTCTGGTTTCCTAACTGGGGATTGGATATTTCTATGGCAAGTTGGAATGGACAGAGTTCTAAATCTTTTGAGCAGCCTCACTGTCTCTCCATTCATTCACCATTTAAAGATTACCTACTCTATGCCAAGCACTGTTCTAGGTTCTTGCAATGATATCTCAGTGAATAAAATACACAAAGAGGCCTGCCTTTAAGAATCTAATTATAATATAGGGAGATGAAAATAAACAATAAGTATAATAAGTAAGTATATAGTAAGTTTGAATATGAAAAGTGCTTTGAAAAAAAAAAAACAGAGCAAGGTAGGAGAGCTTTGCAATACTAAGAGACAAGAAATACGAATTACAATTTCAAATTGAATGGTCAGGGGTAGGCCTCATTGAGAAAATGACATTTGATAGACTTGAAGAAGATGAGTGATTGAGTTAGCCATGCTGATATCTGGGGTAAGGGTTTTTGTAGCAGAAGGAGCAGAAAATGCAAAGATACTAAGGCAAGAATGTGATTGGCGTGTTCCAGGAATAGCTGAGGAGGCCAGTGTGGCTAGGAAAATACAAGTAGGAGAAGAGATAGGAGAGGAAAGGGCCATGTATAATGGGCCTTATCAGACAGGTAAGGGGTTATATCTTCAGTGAAATGAGGAGCCTTTGGGCATTTTTAGTAGAGTAGTAACAAGATATGAGAGATAATGGTGGTTTAAACTGGGGTAGGATCATTTGGAAGGGGGTGTTGAACATTTTTAAAAAATTAAAAATAGACTATGGTAGTAGCAGTGGAGCAAGTGATTAAGTGGCAGGATTCTAAATACACTTGGAAGACAGAGCTACGAGGATTTCCTGATTGCATATGAGGTGTTAATGGAGGAGTCCAGGATGCCTTCAAGGACTCTAATGTGAAAAATTGGAAAGATTAAAGAAGGAGGCCAACTTTTCTTAAAATAAAATGGAATGGGTAAACGTGGAATGTAGTCTATAGGAGGTGTTTCCAAACCTGGATTTGTGGAAGAACCACTTAAGGAACTTTTGAAAAATATATGTTCCCAGACTCCATCCCTAGAGATTCTGATATAGCGTATCTAGGGTAGACCCTGGGAATGTCTGTCTTTCTTTTCTTTTTTTCAGATTATTATGGTTATTCTTTGTTTTGTTTTGTTTTTTTTTTTTTTGAGAGAGAGAGTCTCGCTTTGTTGCCCAGGCTAAAGTGAGTGCCGTGGCGTCAGCCTAGCTCACAGCAACCTCAAACTCCTGGGCTCAAGCGATCCTCCTGCCTCAGCCTTCCAAGTAGCTGGGACTACAGGCATGCGCCACCATGCCCGGCTGATTTTTTTCTATATATATTAGTGGGCCAATTAATTTCTTTCTATTTATAGTAGAGACGGGGTCTCGCTCTTGCTCAGGCTGGTTTCGAACTCCTGACCTCGAGCAATTCGCCCGCCTCGGCCTCCCAGAGTGCTAGGATTACAGGCGTGAGCCGCCGCGCCCGGCCTATTATGGTTATTATGATGCTACCAATCAAGGACTTGCACTTGATTTGTAGCAGGATGCTTATGGCATGATACCCTATAGTGTCCCTGCACAAGATAGGCCTCAGTATTGCCTTTTGTGCTTATTGTATGGCCTTGATGCTGAAACTTTCCCAGAAAGAGTTAATTTAGGGTTAAGCTGCCAAAAAGAGGTATATGGGATTACATTGGACTTCTGAGAGAAAATGCAGTCTGGATTTAGCAAAGTGGTTCCACGCTGGATTTTGACTCTGTCATTTCTTTGGCACTATTAAGATAGTTAATAGACTTCTGATGATAGTTGAACTTGTCACTGACATAGTTTTCCCTCATCCAAACATTGATTTATCAAATTACTGCTGTGCTACATTATAATCCAATAACAAAGCTATTGTAAAAGTAAAGAAATCTATCCACAGAATTTCTAAAGATTTCTTCTCAATTGTGTGAGGCTATTACTTCATTCTACATAGGTAGCATGATTTTTGTGGAAAGGGAACTGAACTGGTAGTCTTTTAGTTTAAAATGTTTTTGATTCTACTCATAGTAAGAAGTGTATTTTATATTGTGACCCAGTATATAGCATATGTAGTTGTATATGTATGTTCAGGATGAATGGATAGATGGATTGATAAGTGGATAGATCGATGTATGTTACTGAAACAAAAGTATCACAAAACGATAGTTTCCCCTACTATATGCAGTGCATTCAGATATTTTTCAGAGTCTGTTCTATTAATAATATATTCTATTTTGTTCTATTTCATTTCTTTATAGAATGCTAGCTATAGTCCATAAAATTGATTTCATGATACACTAATTGGTTGTAATATTAAAAATAATTCTACCAAAGACTACTTTTGCAGGAGCAGCTCTGCCACAGTCTTTTCATTTGACCTGTGAACTCACGTTTTACGAAATGGTCATGGGTTTTTTTCTAGTATTAAAATTTCATTAGTGTATCAGTTGTACTGTGTCTTAACAATGCTATAACCAAATTGCTGAAATTTTAAAATTGAACAGAGAAATACACTTTCTTTTTTTTTTCTTTTTTTTCTTTTCTTTTTATGCAGCCCACTGTTTCTGAATTTTTTTTTTTTTTTTTTTTTTTTTACGAAATACACTTTCTTTGACTAAGGAATAATCAGCAACTCTCCTGAACAAACAGGATGTGTAAAACTAAATAGAAAACTAGGCGTTTTCTCTTTGTGGTAAAGATATCTTCATGAAGGCCTTGGGCATTGTGTTTTAGAGCATTTCCAAAGTAGATAAAGAAGGAAGTGTAATTGATACTGATTAAATACTTTGGGATTTTCTTAAATACAAAAGACGAATTTCTACTTAAGTTACCCAAATGATTTCCCAAATAGTTATAAAAGCTTTTGGGAAACATATGCAGTCTTCTTCCCTCCACCTCCCTCAAAAAGTCATATAATATTGTATACTAGAATGTTGAAAATGGCAATTTTAATCCTGAAGCTATTACTGTAAAATTTTGGACCTCTAGACTGATCTTCTCTTCTCTTCTCTTCTCTTCTCTCTCTCTCTGTCTTCCTTTCTTTCCTTTACTCTTTCTTCTCTTCTCTTCTCTTCTCTTCTCTTCTCTTCTCTTCTCTTCTCTTCTCTTCTCTTCTCTTCTCTTTTTGTTAGAGACAGGGTCTTGCTCTGTCACCCAGGCTCGAGTACGGTGACACCATCATAGCTCGCTGCAGTCTTAAACTCCTGGGCTCATGCGATTATCCTGCCTCAGCCTCCTAAAGTGCTGGGATTACAGGAGTGTGGACTGATTTTTTTTTTAATGGGAAAAAAAAATGTTGTTGATGTAATTTATCTAGGTTTTTTTCTGCCAATCCATAAATGATAAGTTCGTGAGCTTCTCAGAAGAAACAGATAATTTTTGGAAATTTTTTAATCTTTTAATTAATTTCATTTTTAAATTTTTTAATTTGTTCAAAGTATTAATATAACAAGTAACACTGAATGTAAAATAATAAAAAAACAATGAGCTTCATTAATTATAACAGCACTTTCTTTTTTCCTCATTCAAAAAGAATGTTAAATTTGTGTTAATCTACAAGGAATTTTATGCCTCTTGATATAACATTGGCTCTGTTAGGAGTGTCTAAGGAGAGTACAGATATATCTTGAGAGATTTAACGTAGACTTAACTCAGTTTTCATAAGCATTTCAGTAACTATCCTTAAAGTCATTGTAAAATGTGATATTGAGAATTTTTTCCTGAAAATCTCCTGTGTAATCAGTACTCAAGGGAATGGTTTTAGACAGTATTTTTAGAAATTTGACAGGAATGAAAATCAGAGGAAGACTTCTAGGGCATTTTGCTCCATGGCAGACGTTAAGCATTCTTTTTAGCTGAGGATGATACTACAGAACTAAACAGAACCCTCCCAGGGTTGGAGAGGGTCTTTTAAGTTATCTATTGCAGTTTTCTATCCAAGGCAGAGATTCTGTCTTTAACATCCTTGAGAGACTATCTAGTACTTTTCTGTCTGGTATGGGGTGCACAAAAGAGCATGTTAAAGATAAAAAGACAATAATTGCTATGTGAGTTCAGAGGAGGGAGATGTTTCTGCCTGGGTAACCAGAGATTCTTTGCACAGGAGGTGGCTCATAAAGAGGAATTAACTTAGGAATGACAGGTAGAATTTCATTAGAGGGACAGCCTGGCCCAGGCAAACATGTGAAAATTAGAAAGCACAGAGTATGTTTGAGGAACAGAAAATAGACTTAAGGGCTGGAGTCTCAGTAGGATAAGCAATGTTAATTGTCCTAGAAGGACATTTTTGCAATTTAGCAGACAAAGTTTAGGCCAGTAAATTGTTTTCTTCAGTCCTAATTGAGTTACACCTCATTAGAGCAATGCTTCGTTGGGATGAACTGGACAAGAGTCTGTGATTCAGAACAAAATTGGATGTGTACCAAATGCCATGTACTTGTAACTATTAATATTTATGACATGCCATCCTTGTAAATTATCTTTACTATATGTTTCCAAATATTTTTGTTGAAAATATTTGCTTTTGAAAGATGTATGTCTGTGTCATCTACATAAAATTCTGGATTTCATAATGGTAAATTTTCAAATGCAAAAAAAAAAATGCTTTTTGTTCTGTATAGACACAGGGAACATGGAGGTGCTGCACCTTTATGGAAGCGAAGAACAGAAGCAGCAGTGGCTTCAGCCTCTTCTTCAGGGGAACATTACCTCCTGCTTCTGTATGACAGGTAAAGGCAAATTACCTTTCTCCCCTTGTGTAGTCAGTCAGCCTGGAGTTACCATGGATGAGGTCAGGAAACGTGGGTCGTGGCTCTGTTCCAGTCAAATTTGCCTGTGGCTAAAAATGTGAATGTTTGGTTTGAGCCTGATTTTAAATTTTGGCATTTGTAAATTTGCAGAATACATTTTTCCTTTCTTTGGTAGAATACAAGATGATGTTTCTGGTATCATGCTTTGGCATTAGCAGTAGAGTACAGCTGTACTTAATAACAAGTACAGATTACTATGATGGAGAGCTAGCCAGTTTTGAAATGTCATGCAGTAAAGCAGTTGTTTCAGGGTGTCCTCTGGAAAACTTTCTGGAGACCTTAAGTGTTGAGCAGCCTTTGAAAAATGCAAAGTATATAAATTGGTGAACGCATTCCTGGTGGGATTTGCAAGATGCAGTTAGAAATTGTTTAAGATAGGTGTATAATTCCTCACTGCTAAATTTGACTGGCTTTAAAAAAAAAAAAAAGAAATTGTCAAAAATACTAAACTATATGGTGGTGGAAATGTGGCTTGCAAATATTTAGTACAGATTTCCATTGTGAGAAGTAGAAAATGATATTTTTATCTACTTTTGATGGTTAGGGAAAGAAAGGACCGAGTAAATTATATCCCAAGTCACATATTGGTAAGGAAGCCTAAAACACAATTCACAATACTGATCCCCAGTGTTTAATATACTTCATTCATTCTTCTAATGCACATATATTGAATGCCTAGTGTGTTCAGTAGGACAACCAAGGTGGCATGGGGAAGGGTAGGAAGATGAAAAAGACAAAGATGCCTGGTATCCTTAAAAAATTTCCACTCCCTTATCTAAGCCTTTTTGTAAACTGATGATATCTGCCTGCCTGTAAATTCAGCATTTGTTTATTTATAGAACCTGATGTAGCTTCAAGTGATGCCACAAATATTGAATGCAGCATCCAACGAGATGGCGATAGTTATGTAATTAATGGCAAGAAATGGTGGAGCAGTGGTGAGTGTCCAGCATGAATTTTTTCACTTAACAGATTGAGCCTGTGTGCCAGATACTGTTTTAGAATAATGCTGTTATACTTAGTTATTAGTCAATGATCATAATTCTTTAAATTCTTCCTTTTTTAAGCATTTTCAAATTTAAAGAAATGAAATATTAAATGGAAAAGAAATATTAAAATAACATGTCTTAATGAGGCAATGTTTATTTTAAAACAGAAAACATATCTTTTTTTTACAGTTTGAAAGATAAAATTCATTAGTGAAAACTACTTTTGACCAATGTAATTTCTATTAAAACTTAATTTTAATAAGGTCATATTACATGAGTTATAATTTACATGCAGTTGTTTTATAAAGATAAGCTGTACATGTTATTAAAATAATTTATCATGGTACATATTTTCATTACTTAAAAATATAAGAGTTTAAATGAAAAATATGACATTTTATATATCAGATAATACATCTTTTAGTCAACCCTCGATCATAGACTTACATAAATAGATGAGTTCTTTGGGAAGTTATACAAATTTGAAGCTAGATAAATATGATAATCTGAAGATTGCTTTGAGAGTATACATGATCAATCTAACATTTTTCAGGATAACCAGTTATTACTAAAGAAAGTGACATCATAGAAACAAATTATATGTTTAAGAAATTACCAGGAATGTATCGAAAGGGTCAGAAAAGCTTATTATGTATTATTTTGGTTATTTTTCTTTCTGGGATTTTATAAAATTACTTAAAATTTTAAAAACAGTAAAAAACAAGTTTTGCTGCATAGTTATCCAAGTACCAAAATTATACAAGGAAATTGTTCTAGTATTCAAATTTAGATAATGAAAAATAATTATACATGCCTCTTTACATGAGCCTCCTTATTAAGCTGTTTTAGATGGCCTAACTTGTAGTATAGTGGGAGTTTTTTCCTTCTTGAAAACTTCTTTTATTTTGAAATTATATATTCACAGGGAGTTGCATAAATAGTACAGAGTGATCCCAGGTACCTCTTATCCATTTTCCCCCCATGGTTCCATCTTACATAATTATAGTATAATATCAAAACCAGGAAATTGAAATTGGTACAATATGTGTATACAGTTCTGTGTCATTTTATCACATGTGTAGATTTGTGTAACCACTACTGCAATCCAGATACAAAACCATCCCATCAACACAAAGATCTTCCTCTTTATAAAATAGTGTTTTATTGACTTGCGCCTATTACTATTTTCCTGTATTGTTAATATTAATTTTCTTGTTTTGTACAGTTAGTATTTCATTTCCTCTTCTCGTTGGCTTCTATCCTCCTCCTCTCCCAACCCCCTCTTTGTTATAAGTTGCAAGCACAGTGTTTGAGATTTGAGTTTCAGAATAACGTAGATGTTTTATCTGAGGAAGAAGGATCATTCATGTGTATCCAAGCAAAAGGCAGAGCAGTTTTACATTTAAATGCTAAATGTACTGGTTGGCTCTGTAGGACCCTCAGAATCAAAAGGAATCTCCTCCACATTTTGTCTCTGTCTTCTCCACGCCCCATATTTCTTGGCCACTTTCATAATATAGTTTTTAAAAGAGGCTCCCATAAAAACATAAAGGATGGGATTGAGGCAGCTGTGAAAGAGCGCGATGCTTTCTGTGATTTGAATGGCCACGTCCATGCGTTTGCTCATGTCACAGTCAGTGATCAGGGAGTAGATGATGTCTATGGCTCGGCAGAACTTGACAATGTTATAAGGCAGTTGAGTGACAATGAAGACTATAACCACTGTGAGCAGGACTTTGAGGGGTCGAGACTTTTTAATATTCGGCATCTTGATGAGTGTCCTTGCTGTGATAAAGTAGCACACGCCCATGATAAGGAAGGGTACTATAAATCCGACACAGATTTCTAGCATTTGAATAAATGCTTTCATTGATGTTCCTAGGTGGTGGGGAAAGATGGGAATGCACCTAGCATTGTCATTTACTGTATAAAAAACCAGCTGGGGTATACTCAGCAAGATGGTAGCCATCCAGACACAGAAACAGATGATCCAACACGGTTTTCCCACTCCTGATTGGCTGGGGGCTTTGGTTACTGCCAAATATCGGTCGATGCTAATACAGGCCAGAAACTGCATTCCAGAGACAAAGTTTACTGTGTACAAGGCTGAAGTGACTTTACACATCATTTTCCCTAAAACCCACCCATGAACTGCATTAACTGCCCAAAAAGGCAGAGTGAATAGAAGGAGTAAATCTGCCACAGCCAAATTCAGGATGTACACGTCTGTTTTGGTTCTCAGCTTCTTGTAATAGGCATAAATTGCCACTACTATGGAATTGCCTGCAAGTCCAATGATGAAAGCTATTGTGAGGAAGACAGGGAGAAAAACTTTTGCAAATCTTCTGACTTCTTCTTTTATACATATCATTTCATACTGACTGTAGTCATGAGTGCCATTCAGTTCATTTTCCTCATAATAGTAATCTGTTGACTGGTTGTCTTCCAAAGCCATGGCTCCTGCTTGGTTGGCAAAAACAAAACAAAACAGTATACTCATGTTTAAATTGCTTAAAAGAAAACAGTTTTTATCCAGCATGTGTTTTGTTCTTCCCCTAGAGAATAGATTGTTGCTGTAACATATGTGAGTCTGAAGCTACCAGGTGAGAAACATGATGGTTGGATTGTGCAGCTGTGTGGAAGATTGCAGGTTAAAAGGAGATACAGTTCATAAGCCATGAAGGAGTTGGAGTTTTAAGCGCTAGCTTTTCATTCTCCTTGCATGGCACCTTGCAATAAAAATGCCTCTTTCTGCTGTTGCAACTCTCTAAATAAATGAATGAATGAGTGGAGGAGATAAATTCAAGACCTATTTGGAAGGTAGAATCAGAACTTGGGGATTTACTGGAAATTAGGAGTGAAGGTAAGAGAGAAGTCAAGAATGGGACAGGCTTACAGACTAGATCACTAGGAGAAAATGGGGCTGCCAAATAACTGTATAAATAAGTAAGTAGTGGCAGTGCCACTCTTTAAAATGCTTTCATTGAAAAAAAATAAATAAATAAATAAAAAATAAAATGCTTTCATTGGAGCCACATTGGAATATAACTCCAAGATTGGTTACTCATCCTTTGTTTTTACAATTCTGTGTGCAGGAGCTTGGGTGATAAATAAAATACCCTGGAAAATTTTCATAATCACTAAATCCTAAATAAAAGTGAAGACTTTTATGTAAAAATTGTTTTTAAAGTATGAAAACTTAGATTTCAACTAAAAAGAATAAAAAATATTATAATCTTTTTACATGCATAATTTTGTGAGTCTTATAGAGTATATCTACAATAAATTAGATAAATATTTAAATAAATTATTTTATTTACTTTAAATAAATTCATTTTATTTTTATGTTATTTATATATTTAATTTAAATAAATAAATAATCTCAGCATCTGTTTTGAATTTCACTAGTTGGCTTTTATAAAACAAAATCTCCTCTAGTCAACTTCCCTCTAAAACTTGTCACTACTTATTTATTTATACTATTATTTTGGTAGCACCATTATCCCCTAGTCGCATAGGCTGTAAGCCTGCCCTAATTGTTGACTTCTCTCTTACCTTCATTCCTAATTTCCAGTAAGTCCCTAAATTCTGATTCTACCTTTCAAATAGGTCTTGAATCTATCTCCTTCTTTGAATCTGCACTCTTCCACACATCTGCACAATCCAACCATCATGTTTCTCACTTGCCTACTACAGTATCTTCCTAACTGGTATCCTACTATTATTATTTCTTACCACCCCCTTGTCAAAAACATTTTTCCACCAGAATATTCTATCTCTAAATTACCAAGCTGTCATTCCCCTGCTCAGCTCCTCACCTGAGGAACACATGAAAGATACATTGCTTCACTTGAAATGCAAAATCATGTTGCTTCAACTGAAATACATAATCCATCTCCTTCAATATGCCTTCTCCTCTTATTAGCATGATCCCCAAGACTCCATAATATGGTGCCACTGTGGCTCCTGTCACTTCTCCCTATTCCATGTCCCACACTGCAGGCAGTGATAGAGCCGATTGGCCAGCAGTTGATTGGCGCACACCATGCTCCAGCACCTGTCTATATCATTGTTCATTCTGTTCCTTTATCTGTCATATCACTTTCTGCCCTTCCCTTGAAGGGCCACTTCCTACTCAATTAACTTGGTGTCATGTCCCCAGAATACTTTCCTCATGTAATACAATCTCTCCATACCTCTCAGAGAACTGACCCCATCCTCTGGAAAAGATATGTTTCCCAGACTACCTTGTCCATCTGGGCTCTGAGTTCTCAAAAATATGACCTATTTGATTTGTGTTTGTAATTAAAACCTTCTTAACATGCCTGGCACAGACTGGCTGCCCAGTAAATATTTCTCAAACTAAAGGTTTTGTCACAAGGTATAAAGCTATTACTCTAGAATGGATAGATAATATGCCAGGAATCCTCTGCCTCAACATTAAGTTATTATACTACTATGTTGACTATTAACAACCTATAGTATTAAGATAAGCTTGCACAGAATTCACAAGTTTTAAAATGTATATAATAATGACTTTCAATGTTTTTATTGTAGTGCTGCATTTTGTTTTTCTTTAGCCTTTCTATCTTCCTTTGCTTATTTTTGTCCTTTGAAGAGTCTCAAATATTCTTACAGAATCAACAATAAGAATATTATTTTTAAAACTGTGCCAATTTATGGTACATTTTCAAAAGAACATTCTTATACTTGCTAACTCTTTTGAATAGGTAAAGCAAAGAAGGCTCTGAGAAAGATACCACATAGAACTGCTTTTATTATGTAAAACCCAGGTGCTAACTATTTAAAGTGACCATTTTTAACATTAAAGTTATTTTAAAAGTTCCAATCTTGACGACTACTCTGTTCTTCATTTTCTTATGTATTAATTGTTAACATAATCTGAACTTTGTTCTCTTTCATCACAGAAGTCTTAAATCTGATAATAAGGAATAATATGGCCGGATATTATATTAAGGAAGGGTATTTTTATGTGAGAATTAATCTAACTAAAAATGTGAGTAAATAAAAGTAGGAAAGGAAATTATTCACAGAAATGATCCTTCTGGTAAATATACAGAAACATTTAAATATCTTTATTATTACAATAAAAAACTAGTAATTTGTAAGAGAAAGCAGAAAAAAAGGTAAAGCAAAACCTGTTTTCTCATTAACAAAGTTTTACAGACAACTAATGGTATTTAAAATCATATTTTCTTCTTGCTATATTCAGATTTTCATTTTAAGATTAAAGTGTACAACTATTTTCAAATAGCTATTTTCTGCACATGTAAGCATTTAAATTTTTACGCATCAAGACTCCTTCTATATAGGTAAATATACAAAGTCTTTGGGCTTTAAAGAAAAGTCATATCCAAGTCACAATGAAAAAGAAAGAAAGAACCAACCTGTTTCAGTCAGCAGAGAGGAGCAGTGTTGAGTGCAGAAAGTAAAATCAAATGACCTCTCTTACTCGGAGTGCTTTTGTTTTCACTTTACACCCCGCCTTTATCTTGCATCCAAAAAGGGTTTCCTGAAATTTAACCTTGTGAGAACTTGATCGTTTACTTTATGTAAAACCATCCTGTGAAGTTAAATCCAGCTTCTTAAATGTTCTAGGTTACAAATTTGAAAGACTTCCATCTTGTTTCAAAAACTACAGATCTTTCAGAGTTTCTGCTTAGCCAAAGAGAGCAAACAAATTCCTGCAGCTGAGCAACTGACTGCTAAACCAAAAGGAGAATCCACCCAAGAACATCCAGCCAGCCAACAAGCACTTGTGGATAGCATTTAGAGAAATATTTCCTAAAGTTCTTTCATCTAGGAAAGAAAACAAACTTGATTTTAGCCCAGAAAATTATCTTTTTGAGACTAAATTATGAGTAATCATTAGGCATTTATGGTGGAATTTAATATTTTTATGACACATCATTTAATATTTTACTTAAATAAACTATTGCTGGATATTCTTTCTCTATCCTTGTCCTAGAGTATGCCTTTCCCCATGGCTTTAAACTCTTTTGCTTGCTTGTAATCTCTTTCTCCAAAGACCCAGAATACAAACCTTCAAAATCCTTTGGTCTGGGAAGGCTGTTTATTTTTCCCATGCTTCCAAACAAATGAAAGTTAAACAAAGAAGAGAAATTTATGCAAATTTGGCCCACATGGTCTATTTGAACTTGACTCTCCTCACATTTGCATGGCAGTTGCTTTATTTATTTTCTCATGCAAGGGTAGGCTCAGTCTCTACCTGCAGAAGTTATTTTAGACCCATACCAGTTTTTCTCCAAGAAGTTGGTCTAATCTTCTTGTGGATTCACAAAAAAAAAAAAAAAAAAAAAAAGAGGCTCATTAGGGACTCCATGTTCCTTCACTATATATGTGAAGGAACTTTATGTTCCCTCACTATATATCTGAGGGTACAGCCAACCTCTCCTCCTATTTATCCACCACTCTTTGAGAAAGCATCATCAGCATGCAGCTAAACTATCTCACCAAGAAAGAAGTTCCTGGATTTGTGGCATTTACTGTTTTCTGTGTTATAAATATTCCCATCATAGGCAATTTCAAGCTACCAAGGTATAGTCACTGAACACAACGTTACTACAAGATGAGCATAATTAAAGCTCCTGAGCAGGCTCTATTACAGTTCTTCTAAAAGAGGCATCTCTTCTCCTTACCATAGTTGCTCATTCCTGTCATCTTTTGCTGCCAGCAGAAGAATACTGCTATTAATGTTATCCCTGCCCTGGCTCGGCCATCTAGTCTTTCCTCTTCTCTTATGTGTGTTTCTTCTTGATCTTCTATATATTAGGGCAGGAGGAAGTGAAAGAACAACTCTTCACTGAATTCTCATAGTAGCCTGCAATATCCCACAAGGTCTGCCTCCATCCCTCATTGCCTCTCAGACCTCATTTCATGCTACATGCCTCTGTGCCTGGTGGTTCTGCCACACCCATCTGCTTGCTGTTTTAGAGCATACCAGACATATCCTGATCAGGAATTTTGTGCTGGCTCATCTGTCTGCCAGGAAAGTGCTTTCTCTTAATATTTCGAAGGTTCACTCCTCATCTATTTCGAATCTTTGCCTAATCGCCACCTGTTCTCTGAAGCAATCCTTGACTACTCTATTTAAAATACCCTTCATCCACCTGGATTCCAATCCACCTTACCTATAGTACTTAACATGCTCTAAGACACCATATCATTTATATTATGTTTGCTATCTGTTGTCTTTCACCCTGTATTAGAATATAGGCTTCACCAGAACAGGAATTTTTGTTTGCTTTGTTCATTATCTCAAATGCTTAGAATAGTGCTTGGCACATAATAGTTACTCAATAAATATTTTGAATAAAAATAAAAAATCCTACTGTTCCTTTTGATTGTTATACCATTTTACCTGCCCTATTATAGTTATGTTATAGTTCTTGAATGACTGATCTATAACTGCAGCCTCCATAATTATCAATTACATAATCCCTTTGATCTATCTATATGATACTCAATACTGACATGTGGGCCTTGGCAAATACTATTACTTTTGTCTAGAATACTCCTTCCACTCTACTTTAGGTCCCTAGCTCCTACTGACAGTTCAGATTCAGGTCTGACCTTAACATTAATTGCTCCAGGAAGCCTTCTATAACCCTTCTAGATTAGATCAGATATATCTACTGTTTACTCCTATAGTACCATCTCACTCTATTTTTAGTACTTATTAAAATGTTCCTGTCTTTTATAGCTATGTTGTATGCTGCTGTATCCTCAACATTTAGTTTGGTGTCTTACTCATGGTACCAAGCTTAATGAATAATAAATATATGAACCAATCAATCAATTTTTAAGTAACTTATCCTCCACAGATAAATTTAGCAATGTAGCTGGAATTTTGAATTCAGTTCTTCAGTCTTATCTATTAATATTTCCATTTTGTTATCCCTTATACATCTTTGTTATTTCATGATGTCATGTATTATAGAATCTTTATACTGTTTTATGGATTTGAAAGTATCTATCCCTTTCATTTACCCCACCCCAACCACCACCTGCTTTCTTGTAAATAGGATTGTTTTCTTAAATAAGTTATAATGCTATAGTCTTTACATCTTTTGAATTTGTATATCATTTTTGATAGCTCAAGCACATACCCAGCCTTTAGGGCATAAAGGATCTCAGACTGGAGCTGCTGCTTCTGGTAGCATGTGTATGCATGTTGTGTATGAATGCTGTGTATGAATCATGGTGAAACTAGCTCGCTGACTGTCCTTTTCATCTATTTTCTTCTTCTCCTGACAGAACCAGAGCAGATGGTGGTAACAAGGGGGATTTGACAAAAATATGAAAGGCCATCATGTAGCTTTGAGGATAGGAAGAGGCATTGACTCACCTTAGGCAACTTTTCAAAGTACTTACTTGATGTTTTTTTTTTTTTTTTTTTTTTTTTTTTTTTTGAGACAGAGTCTCACTCTGTTGCCTGGGCTAGAGTGCTATGGCATCAGCCTAGCTCACAGCAACCTCAAATTCCTGGGCTCAAGCAATCCTTCTGCCTCAGCCTCCCTAGTGGCTGGGACTACAGGCATGTGCCACCATGCCCAGCTAATTTTGTCTGTATATTTTTAGTTGACCAATTAATTTCCTTCTATTTTTAGTAGAGACGGGGTCTCACTCTTGCTCAGGCTGGTTTTGAACTCCTGATCTTGAGCAATCCGCCTGCCTCAGCCTCCCAGAGTACTAGGATTACAGGTGTGAGCCACACCGGCCTTACTTGATGTTTCTTTACTGGTTTTTTTTTTTTTTTCTGTACCTCTCTTCCACATCTCAAATCCTTAAGAACTGAATTTTTATGATTCCAATTTGCTGCTCACCATAAATGGCCTCCTACTTTACCCTGCCCTGATATAGCATTATTCCTTGTTCCTGAGGAATCTCCTTCCTCACACTTATTTCTCATCCCTCTTCTTGTAGTTTCTTTTCACTCAGTGATACATGTTTGTAAAGCAAGCTGACTAAACTATGTACTATATTATTCACTGAAAATATAAATATTGAGCTATGTATTGAGATAATTTAGATAATCTTATGATTTGATTTCTCTTTAGCGTCCATACTATATATTGAATTCATATCGAATATGAGTTTTTTTACTTTACATTTTTGCTTAAGCATAATGCTTAAATTATTCCAAAATCACTCTAAATGACATTTTCAGTAGCTAAATAATTGTTTTGTTTATGGGTTGTAGTCATTTGCTTTACTATTCTCCTATCATAGGACTTTTAGATTGTTTCCACTCTTTTGTTATTACAAATTATGTTGTGGAAAGCATCTTTGTAGATACTGTAGGAAACTAGACTTAATCTAATCTCACTGAAGAATGTCGAGGAATGTGCCTAATCATATATAACTATTTCTGTTTTTCCTTACACAAGAGATAGCATTCTTACTATTCACACTGAATAGTAATCCTGAAGTTCTTTCTTATCAGTGCATAGAAAGCTTCCTTATTCTTTCTAGAAAAATTCTGTTATGTAGACATCCCACATTTCAACAGTCTTCTATTGGTGGACATTGATTTATGACCAATTCTTTGCAAATACAAATAATACTACTGCAGTGAATAATCTTGTGCATCTGTCATTTCATAAGGAACAGCTAGCTGTATCTGTAAGACAAATACCAGAAATTGGATTAATGGGTCAAAGACTAAGTAAATCTGTAATTTTGATGGATACTGCCAAATTGTACTCCACAGAAAGTACAATTCTTCTCCCTCCAAGAAACCCCTATTTCCCTAAAACCTTGCCAATAGAATGTGCTGTTTTACTGCCACTTTGCTTTCTAAATGACTTGTAACAGATTCAGTACCCTTTGCCCTGATCTTGCCTGCGCCGTGTGAAATACTGGATAATAAACTGCTGTTGTATATATTATCTTTGCCAGTTAATAGGTAAAATAGCATTTCATTATTGCTCTACTCTGCATTTATTTGATTAGCAGTAAAGTTAAACATATCTTAAAAATCTTTCATTATTCTTATTTTCTCTTTTTGCCATTGTGTTCTTTCCCCATCTTTACACTGACTTTCAGGTATTCTTTGTGTTCTAGGGATGTAACTGTTGTATACATTTTGTCATAAATGTTGAAATATTTTCCCCAAATTATTTATTTTTTGCTCTTTAATTTTGTCTTTTAATGTTTAAGAGTTTTATGTAGACAAACCATTTATCTTTTTATTTTGATTTCATTTGTCATTTTTACCTATTTATTTATTTTTCTTTAGAGACAGGGTCTCACTCTGTCACCCAAGCTGGAATGCTTGATCATGGTGGTGTGATCATCACACTCTGCAGCCTCGAGCCTTGAGGGCTCAAGCAATCCTCTTGCCTCAGCTTCCTGATTAGCTGGGACTACAGGTGTGTGCCACCACACCTGGCTAATTTTTTTATTTTTTGTAGAGACAAGGTCTCGCTATGTTGCCTAGACTGGTCTTGAATTCCTGGCCTCAAGTGATCTTGCTTCAGCCTCCCAAAGAGCTGAAATTACAAGCATAAGCTACCACACCCAGCTTCATTTTTAACATTTAAAATTCTCTCCCACCCAGAGATTTGATAAGCATTAGATTATTTTTCTTCTAGTATTTTAGGACTTGATTACTTAAATTTTTTTTTTAATTTTCAACTCTGATCTATTTGGAATTTATTTTGATTCAACCATAATCTGTAACAATAGCAATAATAGCAGCATATAACATTTTAAAAGTATGTGTTATGTAGATATAAAGCCAGAGGTGGATTCAGTGAATTTCAAAGGATATTTCCCCCATTAAAAATAACCCATGCTCTATGAGAACACATGGAATTGGTTTTTTTCTTTAACTGTCAGATTATATGATAAACCTTTTTTTTTAACAAGTGGAAATTTTATTATAAAATGGTATTTATCTCATAATGGTGTTTTAAATTCCAATTTGAATTGTTAGTAAAAGCTAAAACTAAATGAGGTTTAAACATCCCACCTCAGAAAGTCAATGTTGGTTAAAAAAAAAAAGCCTTGAGATTTTGTGGATAGCTAACTTTGCTTCATATCATATAACTGTTTACATCACTTTCTTAATTGTTATAGATCACATCCATACCAAATAGTTGTGTTTTTCTCTACCTATCATCTTTCCTTTTGTTAGAAAATGATTTTGTTTGATAATCATGTGGTTGTAGGAGCTTAAGAAATTAAAAATCATCAGCAAACATTAGGGAGATATAATTTTCAGTCTGACATGGTCCTGGCACTTGAACAGTCTTGAAATACCACAGAGTCTGGATTAAAAACAAAATTATTTTATCTATACCATCTGTTTTCATTCATGAAGGCCTGTGACACAGCTGATATGTTTAATATTCTCTGGTCTATTTGTATTTCCTCTAATATATTTCATTTATGACATTGGTATCCTGTTCATTAACTAAAATGATATAAAAGAAGAAAAACTGTCTTTAAAAGAAGGGTGTTTCAACTGCTGCACCTGCCAAATGTTGCTTGTAGCTAAGAGGAGATGATATATTTGTGAAGGGTTTTTCTCATTTTTCTGAAACATCAAGGTTAAATACAAATATTTCGAATTCTACAAACTATGTATTCACCCTTACTTCCTCTACTTAATGATCACAAAAAGAGAGCCAAGTTAGAAGTTGTTTTGTTTTCTTTTTTTAGAATCTGAATTGTTCTCCATATTAGATTGAGAAAGGCAGAGTCAAAGAATTATTTGCCTGTTTCTTGAGTTTCTTCAAAGTTTACCTGATATCTGAAATCTATTGGGTACTTTATATAAGGCTGTGACAATAGTTGTTTTACGATGGAAAGAACAAGGCAAGAAATATATTGGGAAATATCAGAGAAAAAATTATATATTCTGTATATTGGAAAGAGAAGGCTTTGGACCATGGTTGAAAGGAATTGGAGAGAAGATTTTACATTTGAAGGATTCAGCTTCTGGTTATCTAAAATCATGAAACCTTAAAAGATTTGCCAAAAATGTTCTTGATTGCTAGGATGAAAAGTAGAGAAAGAAAAAATTTCTAATGAAAATGAAGCCCAAACCATGCCATTATGTCGTAATCTGATTTTCAGAATTATGCCCACCAAGGAGACAATGCATTATTTGGGGCAAGTCTCCCTAACCCTTCAGCCTAGCCTGTAGGCCTCTAGGCACTGGCCAAGGCTTCCTACAACTAAAACTTCAAAGACAGCCCCAAGTAGCAAATTATGCAGTTGAAAAATTAAAAGTGAGCCACTCTGTAGAAGATTCTTCCTCTATAATTTCTAGCTAAGAGTCAAAGCATGATTGTATATCATTGCACAGCCAGGACCAATCAAGGGTAAAAAATTCTCCCAACTGAGCATTTTCAGATAAGGAATTCTAGCTAAGATCCACAATGAAATGTATAAGTATCATCATCTGCCATTGAATCATCCTAGTGTTCTTTGGATTGGTACTCAGATTAGTGAAATTCATTTTTTGGCTTGGTCCATTCAGGCTGCTATGACACAATACCATAAATTGGGTAGTCATAAACAACAGAAATTTGTTTGTTGTTGTTACAGAGGCTGAGAAGTCCAAGATCAAGGCACCCCATTAAAGTCATTGTCTGGAAAGGGCCTGCTTGTTGTTTCATAGATGGCACCTTCTTATTGTATCTTCATATTGTAGAAAGGGCGACCAAGCTCCCTCAAGCCTTTTTTATAAGTACACTAATCCTATTTTAATCACCTAAATTACCTCCTTTGAGACCTAATTACCTGCTAAAAGCTCCACCTCCAAACACCATCAGCTTGTGGGTTAGGATTTCAGCTTATACATTCAGTTGGGGGTAAGGGGCACAAACCCTCAGACCATAGCATATTTTACCTATTAGCACCTATAAAAATCAGAAGGACAGCTGGGTGTGCTAGCTCGCACCTGTAATCCTAGTGGCAGGCTCGCTTGAGGCCAGGAGTTCAAGACCAGCATGGGCAACATAACGAGACACCATCTCTACAAAAATGTTTTTGTTTTTTTAAAAATTAGCCAGGTGTGGTGGCACACACCTATGTTCATAACTACTCTGGAGGCTGAGGCAGGATGATTGCTTGAGCCAGGAGTTCAAGGCTATAGTGAGCTATGATCATACCACTGCACTCCAGCCTGGATGGCAGAGCAAGACCCTGTCTGAAAAAAAGAAAAAAAAAATCAGAAGGACATACTCTTGCAAATATAAATAATGGTACACAGTTTTGAAATTCAGACATATTTCAGTAAAATAAGGATAGTTAAGTAGACTCACTATGAAGAATATGACATTTGAGATTTTCAAAAGTTAACTTTGAAATATGTAAATGGGGGATCTTTTCTTATTAG